CAGTACATATACTGAGGAAGGCGTTTTGGTTCAAGTTATTCATTGTATGAAACTTCATATCATTATTACCCCATGCAATTTTCAATCACAGTATGTGTAACTCCGTGATCATGGCTCTCACACACACTGCACGAATGCCCTCTTGACTGCTGCTATTATTAATTATTAATATTTATTATTACTACTATTTATTACTAATCATTATTGGTTATTACCAATCTTTTACCAAATTATTACCAATCTCAATCAATTACTGAATATGGTTCGGTGCTGAAACCTAATTGCTATTTATTAAGTGCAATTTTCGAACCCTTTATAACACATTTATACATTATTTAAAATGTTCTTATTTATACTCTATGCCACATTTTAATTTACATTTTCAAATGTCCATTTTGCCCCGTTACAGTTTGACATCCACCCAATGATCTTGACGGTACAGATGGACATGCAACACAAGGACAGGCTCCCACTTGCTCTCATCATTGCCTTCATTAGTAAGTTGCAAATAATATATTGTGTGTATAGTTTTGATCGACTTGAGAATGGTCGAGGACGGACCGAAACATCGTCGTCCCTTCACTTTCTAGTGTGGTTTGGTCAACATATGTGTATAGTTTTATTTCAGTTACGTGTGTCCACATTATATTAAGTATTTATCGCCTGAATTTACCTAAAGGTCACCCTCTCTCCAGTGGCCTCAACGGAGACAGGAAGCCAGTGACTTGCCAAAAGTTCCCTCCCACCCCACTCTCCTTTATGCTAGTTCATCTTTATACAAAGTGTCTGGTAACACAAGATGTGTGTGTGTGTGGCTCGACTTACATGATACAACTCAAGAAACATTGTCATATTGACTCCCCTCTTGATATAAACAGATGAGCATTTATTCTAATTGTAGATTTGTTGATTTCTATATTTAATCTTGAGATTGGCGGTGCTCGACATGTATCGATACCTTTATGAAATATTCTCCAATATTGTTGGTATAGTCTTGGCACTTGTATAGGATGGAAGTTCTTGTAATATATGTTGATGGTAGCTGTACTCTTGTGTACAGCACCGTTTTTTTTTAATCTTATTCATATACTGTTTATCTTAAAAATCAAGAGAACAATCGTAGCTTCGTAGAAACGGGAAATTTCTGTAATGGAAGAGAATAAATTGACTGGCTGCGGGTAGTTAGTGGGAGAGGAGGGGCAGGCGGCCCCCCTCCCTCCCAACTCTCCCTCCCAACTCTCCCTCCCCCTAACTCTCCCTTCCCCCTAACTCTCCCTTCCCCCTAACTCTCCCTTCCCCCTAACTCTCCCTTCCCCCTAACTCTCCCTTCCCCCTAACTCTCCCTTCCCCCTAACTCTCACCCCCCTAACTCTCCATGCATGCTTTGCTGGAAACGCGCCTCTCCCTCCCTGGCGTGTGTGACTCGCCAGGGAGGTGAGAGGTCCTTGGGAACCCCCACGGCCACCCAGGGAGATGTGGCAGCATCCTCAAGGGGCGCGCCTTAGTTAATTGTTCAGTTGCTCACACTTAGTGCAAGGCTTGGTGGGAAGACACACTTCCTGGAAAACCTGGCTGGTTGTTAAACGATTTGGCGGGTCGTATTTCGGGGAAAATTTGGATTAAGGGCCTGCCCGAAACACTAAGTGATGGCTTTACGAGAATATACTGTGTGTGTATATTACATAGGTACATATGCAAACATATGCATATATAGTATATATATATGCAAACACACTTGAATGGTCCCCTAGCGCATATGCAACTGAAAACTCCACACCCCAGAAGTGACTCGGTGGCTATCACCGCCTTTTGAATGGTCACTGATGGTAGAGTGGTTTAAGGCACTGTGTACACCAGTGGCAATGTGCTCCTGGCGGTCCGGGTTCGAGTCATTTCTGTGTGTGTATATATAATAATGCATTTTATTTTTAATGAGTATTATTTGTATTTAGTCTGATCAGTGTATTTTGTTATTTAACTGGGCAGTTAACCAATTTCAATTGTGCACCCCCTAAGTTGGTAGCACATTATGTACTTATAGTAACAGGTTAATTGCCCATTATGCTCTCGTCACATTGTAAACCTCCGTATTAACTATTACGTTAATTATCAGCCTTGTCACTTAAGTAATTTAATTCAGACTTGCAAGTATCCCTCTATGTTCACCAGGTAATTAATTGACTAACTTTACTGCTGGCAATGTACACCCACTTCCGGCTCGGCTGTGTTAATCAGTCGATTAACAAAAAATAATAACATTGATTTAATTCGTGTTAATTAAAATTTCCAAGTGCAACAGTGTATCTCTTTCAAGAATACAGAAAATATATATTGTTTACATGTGCCTGTATCAGGATGTGTAAACACTGTACCGTATAGGAGGCACTTGTATTATACACAGAAATGTACGCAAGGAATATTACAAGTACTTTAGTTACTGGTTTTGTTTTAAAGCAGCTTCGTGCAATGTGAAATTATCCTGTCATTACTGATCGTAAGTATATGTAGTAGTGGCCAAAGGACAAGCGTATCAGAAATTACTTGTAAATTCTAACAAATATTATATTGGGGTGAATTGCATTTGTTTTCCCTTGTGGTAAAGAAATCTGTCATCTTATGAAACAAATAAGTGTGTCAGATGAAAAATGTTAACTTTATAGCATAAGAGGCGAATTTTAAATGTTTGTTATGTTCAAGTAAGGGAAAAAATTATAATATTTTTGGGCAATATTTGCAACATGGCTTATCAAAAATGGTGATTTGAGAGAGATACAATTTATTAATAAAGTGGATAATGATGGAATAAAATACGAATGTTTCCTTGTGTTTACATGATACTGTAGTACAATACATACACTAATATATTTTGTTACAGTTGGAGTCTGTCTCTTCGGTGGGATCTCTCTTGTAGCCTTCTTCTTCTTCGGCTCCTCGGTCAAGACCAACATCTTGAATAATCTCTCCCCCGGTGTTCTCCTCTACATCAACATGGTGATCGTCTCCGTGCAGGTGAGACGAGAGAGGTAACGCGGAGAGGCAAGAGCACAGTAAACATGAGGACACAAGTGTGTGTGGTCAGTGTGTGGAAAGCTGCCAGCCAGTAGTGGGGAGGGAATTATCCTCACTACTAATCGTTAGTGGAACTGCCATCATTCACGGCTCGCTACATATTTAACTCTTTTTGCAGCTTGAACTATTAGCTTAAATATAGTAATAAATATTCCTTGATATCTTGCAGAAGACAATTATAATCCTTAGCATCTTGGGAGCAATGCACATAATATTTTAGAAGCCGGGTTTCCAATCTGTTGTCTGGGGATAAATTTTTCATAGGCCATCAAATATCAATCTCATTAAAATTTGAAATAAATACCGTACTTTAATAAATTGTCAAGTGAAATGGCTATAGGTTGAGATATTGTCCAGTGACCCCAAAAGTTTAAAAATCGCCGGTTTAGGGCGATTCTCTCAGATGACTAAATAATTACACAGACTACCGTTTCTTAATATTCTAATGATCTGATAATTTTGAAAAGCCCATGCAAGGGTATTGTATTTTTTTTTTTTTTACATATGTGTTCTATACAGTTTGAAACTTATATTTTATATTGAAGTTTCTAAGTATTTGTGTTTCAAATAATTCCTGGTCAAATTAATGAAAAACAAATGTGTTTTCAGATACTCATGTGTCTTGTACTTGGCATCAACACACTTTTCCAAGACCTGGAGAATTCTCTTCGGATTCCCGATGGTGTGTATAATGAATTTTCTTGGGGACAAGCAGTGTGTGTGTGTGTGTGTGTGTGTGTGTGTGTGTGTGTGTGTGTGTGTGTGTGTGTGTGTGTGTGTGTGTGTGTGTGTACTCGCCTATTTATGCCTGCAGGATCGAACATTAACTCTTGGATCCCGCCTTTCTAGCCACTGGTTGTTTACAGCAATGACTCCTGTCCTATTTCCTTATCATATCTAGTTTTCAAATTATGAATAGAGTTTGCTTCCACAACCTGCTCCTTAAGTTCATTCCATTTTTCCACTACTCTCACGCTAAAAGAAAACTTCCTAACATCTTTGTGACTCATCTGAGGTTTCCACCTTTCACTAATGCCCCCTTGTTCTGTTGGTATTAAGTGTTAATTAAGTGTGTGTGTGTTTAGTTTTCTCGTTTGGTATAAAGATTTACCCCATTAACCTATGAATAATTTAACCAAATTATTTAAAGTTATGCCCAAAATGATTTGTGTATCAGTGGGTATATTTAGTGTGCAAGCTCTGTACCTACAAATAAACCACTAATATGTATAGTTTGTGAATAAAAATTGTATTATTGAAAGTTAGAATGTCTTTTATTCGGTTATAATTGTGCTGTTTACTAATGCAATGAAAATATTTCAGAGTTTGGTTGGCGGCGCATTTGTCTTCGAACGACAGTGATGCTCCTGGTCCTTTTCCTGTGTGAATCTGTTCCACATTTTGGGGTTGCCATTGAACTGGTGGGTGGACTGCTGGTCACTCCATTTATATTCTTCTTTCCCGCAACATTCCACATTATTATTAAGGTAAGAGTGACTTTAATAACAGTACTGTGATAAACTTGTTTTTTGTCTTTGTTGTACACTAAATATAAGTTTTGGCGTATTATTGAAATTCAGCTGTTGATGTATCGATATACAATGTGTCGAAAGTAGTCCCCCTTAGGGGTTTGATGTATTGGTGTGATACAGTTGTTGTTGTATGAGTATTGGAGAGAGAAGTGTGTGAACATAATACATGGAAAAGATGAATCGAATATTGCACACCAAAACGTTAAATGGATACACTGTGTAGGAGAGTTGAACGTTTTGTTATGTGTAACTATAGCTAAATTAAAGATAGTTGGGGAAATGAAGTAGTGATGGTATGATAAGTTTAAATACCTGTGATTGGTAAATTGGGAATATGTGTATTAAAGTTAACTTGCATAATAATGTTATGGAAAACTCAGTAGTATTCACCTAGTTGTGCTTGCGGGGGATTGAGCTCTGCTCATTCGGCCCGCCTCTCAACTCTTACGGTCGTGCATATCCTTGTTGAATGTCTCGACTTCCAGGATGAGTGTGTGTCTTGCTTTCCGACCGTCCCTCACAGTCACTTGTCCCTCGATAGAATTCTTGGTGAATCAGATTCTTTTGATATCGTTTGCCTTATGCGTTTCTGTTCTTGTACTGGCATCCTCGGCGATATTTAGCACCCTCTGATTATTCTGCACATTTAACCACTGCACTGCGCAAAGCGCCTTTAGGCGCTCTGAGATTTGTGCTTTTTGTTTTTTAATTAGGCTATATTTTAATATTTTTAAATGTTTTCATTACTCTTTCTGTTTTGAAATGGAAATAGTTGACTTTGGAAACATTTTGACATTAACTTTACCTGAACAATTATAAAAATAACAAATATATCCTTGAGAATTGCACCAAGACATTTTTGCCGAAAATGGGTGAGCAGTGCAGGGGTTAATGGTGCTACATAACCTTCCTGGTTTGGTGCCTTCTTTTTATAATTACTTACTTAACCAAACCCTTGGAATAATCAAGTATACCTTTGATTTTAAGGAAAAGAATGTAGTTCCCCCTTTTGGATTTCTGTATCAAAGCATGGAGACCTCGTCTTCAGAAGGATAGCTGCTCTGGAGAAAGTGCAACACTAGGCACCAAAAATTTTGCCAGAGCTAAGTCAACTCTTGTATCGGGAACGGTTGAGGGTCACAGGGTTAACAACACTGCGCACCAGACATGACAGGGCAGATCTCATTGAAAATTTTAAAATGCTTAACAATTTTGGAGGATGTTGATCTGGACAATTTCTTCAATAGGTCAGATGTAATACAAACAAGGAGAAACAGTTTCAAGCTCAACAAGCCACAATGTAGGACTGACAACAGGAGATATTTTTTCACCCACAGGGTTAAAAACCTATGGAATCGCCTACCCGCCGAAGCCGTAAATGCCAAAACTGTTAAATTTTAAAATCTAACTAGAAAAGGTAAAGGCGAAAGGAGGGGACCTTCGACAAGCCTCAGGCTTACTGTCCTCATCGAAGCCACTAGTGTTAGTAGACCTCAGGTAAATTAGGTATATTTCTGGAGTGACCAAGCTATTGAAAGTCATTCATTTACAAAACAAATCTGCCATTTAAAAAAAATGCAAACAAGGAGATATGCACCAGTCTGTTAGTTGTTAATTTAAAATGATACAAATTCTTGAAATTTGCGTAGGGTAAGGTTGCTTGTATCATGATAGCTGCCATTTTTATGGGGACCTATAGCACCTATTATAAATCAATTTATCTAATCTCGCATGTTTGATGTTTACCAAGGTAATAATTTTTCAACACATACGTTGGTGCAAATTAGTTTTTTATAACCTGATTAGTATGACTTAGAAATCCCATAAGTTTCTAATATAAAACCTGTTTTAATGCCTGAGAATGGTTAAATGTTGGAACACTTGTCACCCCCATCATTATCCTTCCCTTAACCAGATGATTTAATATATATTTTTGTTTCTGTTTTCCTAATTATTTTCTCCATTCTCTTCAGAAAAAAGCAACTGGCCAACTGGATGTGAAGGATATTGTTTTAGCAGCGAATATAATGTTTTTGGGAGTCGTGGGATGCATTGCTGCAACTACCGATAGCTTTATCAATGTAGCTATATTAAAAGACTTTGCTCCACCGTGTTACATTAACATAACAGCAGCATCAACTTTAACAGAGGGATCAGGATTACCTGGTCCTAAGGTTCCATAATCATGTATGTGATATATTTTTGATGTACTGTACAGTTATGACTGCTTGGTAGTGCCAACAGTGTGGCTATATTCTAATATCTTTATAAGATATTACATAAACTAATGTCTTTACAAGATCAGATACTCTAATTAGCAATACACTATTTTTTTAAATTTAAGGAATTTTGATAAAAACCTTATCTTGTATATCAGGAAACTCTTAATAATAAGATTGTTTATAAATAAGTTGTACTATATTTTTAATTGCAAAATTTTTTCTTTGAAATATTTTTTGTAATTGCATGATATTCGAGCAAGATGGTGCTTCCGTGCATAGAAAAAATCCAGCTTAGTTATGGATAAAATAAAAAATACATTAATTCATTTTCAAGGATAACAATATGTTAAAAGTATGCAATCTCTTAATTTGAAACCAAGCAGTCATTAAAAACACCTTCAAGATCAGCTCTCTCAGGGCAGTGATTAGATAAACTTTTCATTAAAGCCGGTCAATTAGAGGTCAGTATTCATACCGATTGTTAAAAAATGTATCGTTTGATATATTAAATAGCTACTTGTAAAACCTTTATTTACATTTTTTTTGTATGTGAAACCATGTTGACAGAAATACTTGTACTGTGTTGATTTTACTCATAATTTAACAAAAATTTAAGTATAAAATAAAAATGGAAATACGTTCAAAAGCTGTACAGTGCACACACACAACTTTGTAATTTACAGAGTAAACTTTATCAGTATGAACAAACGTTTCATAAATTACTAAAAAAAAAATTATTACAAAATATTGTGGCAAAGTAATTTATTATTATTGCAGTGGTAAGTTAAATATATTTAAAAGGATAATGTGTTGTTTAACTTTACAAGTTACTTGTATGACACCTTTGTTAATGTAAGAAAAGTCATTTTGACAATTATATAATTGAAAATTAAGTTTCCCATTTCACTTAAAAAAAATAAAGCATAAGCATCAAAATCATATTCTCCAGATGCAGGCAGTCAAACTCACTGATTAATGTAATTGGGTAGCGCACAGTTTGCTGCTGATGCTTCTAAATTTCATAAAATTAACCAGAAGTATTTCATGGGTACTTGATGTGGTGAAACGGGACTCAAGTGAAGCCATCAGGCAGGTGTTGGTGGCTTCTGCTCCCATCTCCAGCCTTCTGCAACAGTACAAGAGTTAAATATGCCAACATGGCTTTACTTCCCGTGTTCACTGTTCATGGAAACCATTAAATTCCATTGTTCCTTTATCTGGTTGATGAGCCTACCCAACTGCACTGTACCACTTTCAGTTGTGCACCTTTTAGGGGAATGTCTGTTTTCAGGATGATCATTAATTTCATTTTCCTAATAACACCTTGGGGTCACTTGTCCCCTCAATAGAATCCTTGGTAAATCAAATACCTTATATGTTGCTTGCCTTATGTTCCTTTCTTCTTGAATTAGCATCCTGAGTGATATTTAGCACCTTTTGAATATCTTGATAGTGCTATATAGTCTTCCTGACTTGACACCTTCCTTTGATAATTAATTAATCAGATTTACAACTGTTCTGGCATAAGACAAATTGGTGAAGAAAAATGTAAAAGATCTTTTCTTATTTTATTTAAGCAAAAATTGTGTTTAGGGGTGGGGGGGGGGAGCAGTTTAAAATTTAAAAAAATTTCCAAGTTGATTAATTGAACAAATTTATATATTGTAAGTTAATGATACTAAATGATTAATATTTTGTCTAATAAATTTTAACACTGCCAAAGAAATCTTTTCAAAATGTTTAATATGAAAACACTTTAAACTGCAAATTCTAGAGAATAGAGTTGAATTAACCAATATAAATTTGTCTTAAAATACATAATAAAGATAATTTTGCATTGAGGATGTTTGTGTTAAAGAACCTTTTCTACTTCAAGTGGGGTTCCAGTAATATCCATTGCCCAAGACTCGCTTGCATCACCAAAATCCTGTAAATCGACAAGATGCTATTGGGCTATGGCACTTTGCATACCTAGATCCATAAGTGATCTGAACTGAACTTTGAAAGAGATCACAAGACATTTTTCAACTTGCATGAATGGGGGTTTCAGTCGACTATTTAGCAACACTATCGCCCAAGACATCACCTTTGCAGTCCAACAAACACCAGCCTGTAAAAGTGCATGCATTTCTCATGCTATTTGGAGGACTTTTCTTTTTTTTGTTTAAGGCTAAATAAAAAAAAATCTTTGAGATAAAAGTAAACAAATATATTCAACTCTACTACAATAATGCAAGTGATTTTATCACAATCTATTTAAACATACCTAGCCTAAATAGTCTAATAAAAGATTAAATCTTGTAGACATTCTCTAAAAATGATTCAAAGTCTGGCAGTACTGTACATGTGCATCCTGTAATGCAGTTACATGCCATTCCATTCACCTGATCCTGGATTTATAAAGCAGTTACGCAAGCACTTACGAACCTGTACACCTTTCCTCAATCTTTGACGGCTTTGATTACATTTATTAAACAGTTTACAAGCATGAAAACTTCCAAGTTTAATAAATGTAACCAAAGTCGTCAAAGATTGAGGAAAGGTGTACAGGTTTGTAAGTGTTTGCGTAACTGCTTTATGAATCCGGGTCCTGGGCTCTAGAAAACTTGAACCATGAAAATGGCATCTTTTTTTGGATTGAGAAGAATCCTTACAGCTTCTTTGGCAAAGAAAAAGATGCTAAACTGCTCATAATAAACAACAAGAGGGGAGAGGATGGGGGGGGGGGGGGGGGGGGCAATTTACACAGAACATTAATAAAAAATAATTAATAAAATTGTTACTTTAACTTAAATTTAAATTCTTATTATATTCAATATATACAGTAAATTTTTCATTGTATAAAATAAAACATTAGCTACTCTCACTCCCTTCACTTAAATTTAAGACCTGCTCATCTGCTCTTTTCATTTCTTTCTTAGGATCATACGATTTATCGTCACAATCACTCTCGTCAATTGAAATGTCACCCTCACTTTCCTGCTCACTCTCTTTGTAAGTTTTAATATTTTTCTTTGTGGACCTGCGAGACGTTCTTCTCAAGGCCAGCTTGCTAACTTTTCTTGCATCAGGTTCAGGAGTAGTTGAACGGCTAGATGATACAGCTGTCTCGCATTCAGAATCCGATGGATTTTGACTTTCAGATTCTATAGTTACGCTTTTGGATTTGCTTTTGGGCTTGCCTTGTTTTCTGATGCTGGTTTTAATTTTGGAATTATAAAATGAATCAGAAAATTTAATAGGACTCTTTGAAGAAGAGGGCTGAGAATCGTTCTCCATATCACTGTCATCACTAAGATCTGGATTATGCATCACAGTTTTATTTCCCCATTGGAGAATAGCTCTGATTTTTTCTTTCTTTTGCTCATTATCCGATTCACTTTCCTTGTCGGTGCCAACTAAGTCTGTCATAGAATCCTTGTTTGTTTTGTTCTTGGTAAAATCTCTCTTTACACAATTTTTTGTCTTCATTGTTCTGTTTCTACTCTTCCTGGCCATCTCCACAACGTTGGAACTCAAATCTATTCTAAGGTTTCTAATTGTGTGTGTAATGAGAGGCTTAGCAGCAGCAATATCCTCTTGTGTAATCTTTCTTTTTGTGGATTTTTTCTTCTCTTCCATCTTTTCTTTGACTATTTTCTCCTCTTCCTCTTCATCAGATTGAGAACCAGTTCCATATTTTTCCCTTACTCTTTCCTTCACCAAAATTCCTTGAATCAGCCTCTTCCAATTGTCATAAATTCTTTTCTGCCTCTTTTCTTCTAACCTTCTAGCTTGCTCTTTTTGTTCCTACAAAGAAGAATTTTGTAATTATATTATGTTCATTATATTTAATGTAGACTGTACTGGGAAAATGTGTAAATTTAATGTTTAAATACTTTAACTAAAAATCACTTGCATGACTATTATTTATAACCTAGCTAAAGTATGCATGTGAGGCATTATTAAATCCTTGAAAACTATGAAACACTAAGATATGACCCTTTTGAGGCCAAAGTGCAAGTTGGTTTCACTGTGCACATTGTGATATGGCAATGTACCCCAAAGATGGGGACAGTTATTTTATATAACAAAAATAAAAATGCTAGATATCCAGCAACAGAAGATGATTTGGATACTGAAATTACCACAATTAAATTTTTCATTAGTTCTATACTGTACTTAAAATTCTGCATCTTTTGATTGCAACCAATTAACTGCAGGCTGTGTTACATAAGGCTGTAAGCACCAAAAGCCTGATTAATCAGATCATCAACAAGGAAGGCTGTTCATAGATTGAAGCCTCATGGGCACAAACCCCTGGAACCACCATGAGGTAAGAAAGTAGGAACAGAACACAATATATGTAACGTTATTCTTAAGAGACATTTTTTTAGCCTTTTACTTGATACATGTCCTTCGTGGGTATCAATTAACAAATGCCAATAAAACCCCACGAGCATGAGACAGCTTGGTACTGTACTTATTGTCCAAGAACAATGATGGAACTGTACCGTCCTACTCAAAATTCATTACAAATACATATGGATTGGACCAACTTATTTTACTTGTATTTTGCTAAGATTTTTTTTTGTCCTATACTTCACTTTAGTCATAGTTTTTTAATTCCATTTCGATATAAAAGCTATCTTCCATATAGCTGGTACAATATTTATCTTTGTGTAAACACAAACACACCCTGTTTTTGGTTTTACCCCAATGCTCAAAGCAGGTGGATTCAATTTCTATGACAGGACCATAACGTTTGCGAGTGTTTAATTTCACCTCATGCCTCTGTTCACATAGCAGTAAATATGCACCTGTGAGTTAAGCAACAGTTATGGGCTGAATCCTGGAAAATGTTAGTCGTAGGTCAATGGGAGCCTCAATAAGTCTAGCAGGCTTCCTGTCTGTGACAATTGGAAACTGTCGGAATGTTTCCATACTACAGAAATGCATTAACATTTTTGAGTTTGAATAACACATTTTAGGATCATCGGTATTCTGATAGTAAATGATCTGATGACCCTAAAATGCGTCATCCGATTCCTATTCATGAACAGCCATGTATTCATCACTGTCACATATAATTTATTATAAATTCAAGTTTGTTTTTGCATCTATTCTCTAGAACATTTGCAAATATTGACACTTATTTGTTGGGCTATAACTAAAAATTAAGTTAGAAAACATTAAATGATTGTAAACTTTTGCATCGATGAGTGGCCCACAAGCCACCAGGGAAACCTAGAATGTCTACACTCTCTGTATGTATGGAGGTGTTAGACAGCAAGTGTAATTACCTAAGTGTAATTACCTAAGTGTAGTTACAGGATGAGAGCTACGCTCGTGGTGTCCCGTCTTCCCAGCACTCTTTGTCATATAACGCAAAAATAAGTGTATGTACACCTTCTCGGTGTACATTCCCGTCCAGCAGGTACGAGCTTCTACACGTACAAATACGGTTATCTTGAGGTTATCTTCTTGATGTTATTTCGGGGTTTTTTAGTGTCCCCGCGGCCCGGTCCTCGACCAGGCCTCCACCCCCAGGAAGCAGCCCGTGACAGCTGACTAACACCCAGGTACCTATTTTACTGCTAGGGGCATAGGGTGAAAGAAACTCTGCCCAATGTTTCTCGCCGGCGCCTGGGATCGAACCCAGGACCACAGGCTCACAAGTCCAGCGTGCTGTCCGCTCGGTCGACCGTCTCCCTCTTGTTATTGGTAGTTATTGGTAAGTGTTATTGGTAGCCGGAGATCATATTTCAGTTAAATAATGAGAATTTAATTTGCATAAATTAAATTTCCTTGTGGAAAGTACTAATGTATAGTATTTACAAATATGGTTAACAGAACTATAATATACTAGTCATATCCACATCAGCAAGAAGGATATGCATCATCCATACTGGCTTCTAAAAGAAACACACAGTTTGGCAGATACATACTTTACTTGGTAGTTAATGAGAAGACCCTTTTTTCCTTTTTTAACACATAGGTAGAGGAACAGATGACTACTGACTCCTATTAGCAGGCTGAAAGGACCCTTCCTATAGCTCATGGTAAGCCTTGCCCACTAGTTTCCCTGGAATACAACCCACCAATTGTTTAACAACCAGGTACCCAATCACTGATGGGCAAACACAGGCTTACAGTTAAGGATTGGCGCCTAGTCAATCCTCCCCGGCCAGGATACAAACCTTGGCCAAATCACTCACAAAGCGTGGAACGAGTGTGTCACCACTGCTCCACCAGGGACTGTAGTTATAGACACGAGGAATGTCATAACTGACAAATCAACTAGCAGGTGCTACAATGTTATTAAACCCTTCCTCAGCCCTAATTAAATTTGTATATTTAATTTTATTTACATCATAATAACATACCTCATTCCAAGCGTCCATTAGGATGTCTTTGAACTCTTCACAAATTACATAGCCTTCATAGACAGGATGAGTCCAGCCAGAGTGAAAATCAAATCCTACCATTGCTGGAGCACAGTCAATATTCAGCTTGCGAGCTACACGATTGAGGCCGGCAACTGAAACAAGAGACATTATTATAGGTACGTACATACTAGTGTAATAACTAATTGGTTACAGTGAACCCAGACGTGGTACAGTTTAGCTGCCATCATTCAACATTGTCTTTGGCACTCTTTTTGTAAACATCATGAATTATATAGCATCCTTCCCAAGAAGACACAACCACCTTCTCTGTTAACATTGCCCTTCACGCTGCATAACTAAATTATAACCTGTCACGTGCCATGGTTACGTTATTTCCATAACTTGTATTTTTGGCATTTTTTCTTAAAATGTTTAAATATTGATGTTTAGGTCAATAGTGATTTTTTTTTTAATTTTAAAAGATATTACAGAGGTTCGTATATTTTATGAAAAAGCACAAAAAAGATATAAATGAAAATCTGAGACTAAATGGAGGCCTAACTCATTTGACGAGTTGTTATCTACATTCTGTACTACATTGTGAAAATCTGGACTGCCATTCTACTCCAAATACAATAATTTTTTTCAATTGTCAAATACACTTGCAACCATATCAGAATATATACACAAAGCTATAAAAGACAAAATATTATTCTACAGTAAATAGTGTGGGATCAGACACAGACTGATGGTAATGGTTCTCTATCAGATAATCATCCATCTTACTTGGAATATGTACACAGCCCTTGGGTAGCATTCTTGCTTTGAATAGTTCCACATTCCCATATTCATTGCGAGGTACTTTTCCTCCTGCAGCCACTGGAGGCTCATAATCTTCCACCTGCCACTCTCCAAACAGTTCTAGTGGCAGATCTTTGATCAGTTTGCAGCCAATCTGGAACAGGTACACAGAATATCTTACTTGTAGTATATTTTGAACCTGCTCAAAAACTCATTTAAATAATGAATCAATTTATCATCAAGGTCAACTACTTTTCGCACAGAAATAAATATAAATTACTATGAAAGCAATCACCCGAGTAAATTAAATATTGTTACTTGGTAATAATGTTCACCAGTGAACTAATGGTAAGTTTTATGATCATATACAAATGTTCTCAGTTTAAAGTAGTTATGATAATTTCATAATTAAATTAATCATATTTAAAGTAATTATGATGTGTTTATAAGTAATTATAATTTCAAGAGAGAACACAAACTAAAGCAGAAAACAGCGCTCAATGTAATGAAATGCCTCTTTCTGGTTGCATCTCTGTGGCTCTGTAAAACTATTTGGCTGAGGGAGCTCCACACACGAGTCACATCAACCAGAGGAGTCTGTACTGCCTACCAGAAACCAGAGCCTGGCCTCCCTTACAGAGTTGATTAATAACTATCCACTCTGGCTGCTAAATCTAACCCACCAGTTACGCCGAGATCTCCAGTTTACCATGTCAACAGAGATCAGTAGGAAGCTAAAAAAACAACCACTGATGAACCTGGAAAAGGGGGCAAGGTATCAGAGAGCCATTGAGGCTCAATAAGAGGAGTTTCATTACATTCAAAGCTGGTTTTCTGGGGGCTTCTAGTAGCTAACTACAAAAAGGAAAAACGGGACTTCCTAGAGAGGAGGAGAGCAAAGACTAAACTCCCGAAGACTAGAACCCAGGACAAGCTGATCAAGGGCAACAAAATCCTGACATGGATAAAAAACAGACTAGGTAATGAGCAGGCAGGGACCTTGTTAAACATCAAAAACCCCCAAACTTATGGCATCCTATTTCATCCTACGACATACAGGAAAAGACCACAGTCAAAGCTACAAATTTGTGAATATTATGGACCTGAGGGTAGACTACAGGCTCAACCCGTACTCACACTAGGCTGGTTAAAGCAGCGGCTGTCCTCCCGAGACCCATTCATCAATTTCGGAGATTAGTGATTTTGATTTTGTGAGGGTGATCGTAAAAATCCCCAGTCCCTGTGCCTTTATTATGGGGCCAGGTCCTGACTCTGGTCTACAGTAGACAATATGGTCTCCTAGGGTTTATGTGATGTGTGCATGGAGCTACTTCAGCAAGCTAGCTTTGGGGAGCCTCTATTCAGTTCTTCCTGAAAGTCTATATTTGCTATGAGATTACATTGCTAAAATTTAATAACAGACATTTTTGTTCAAACTAAAATACTGTACCTTAAAGTTTCATACCAATATAATAGGGTGTTCAAGATAATGAATTAAATAATTTTCAGGAGACAGAAAAAGAAATAACATGAGAAAATATTGTTATACTGTATTTTAGTATAGTAGTCCCAGTGCTCAATGCATGCTGAATAACTAAGCAATACATAAACAAAAATAAAATTGTAATACCAGGGATATTTAATAAATACATTAAACAATCTTACCCTATCCCATTTTGGCCGTGCTTTTACAACCTTGTATGGTTCTTCATCAACTCTCACTGACTTGGCCTCCTTCATCCAGGTGTCCCGAGAATGTAAATTGTAAATGCTATCACGTGGATAAACCGGTTCATTCTTGAAAAATCCAACAGGAGAGACATCAGGCGGATAAATTGCCTCAAACTTTAGAAGGTGGCGTTGCAAAGCATATAACGGATGGTTTTTGTACCTGAAGATAAATGTTCATTTGTTGTATTTTAGTAGATAAATTTGCTTCTTACTACACAGCTTTGAGTTTAAAGTAAAACAAACCATACCTACAGCTAAGAGACACTGTACTACATTTTATCCATTATTCTCCATGTATTTTTTACATTATGACCAAAATGCTCTGCATATTAGTGGCTTTTTGCATTGTACTTTCTTATGTATCCTCCACTGTTCATATACTACCCTGTATATCATATGTATGTACACTTGTACATAAATAAAATTACTGGGTATTACCCCGACTTACCCGAGGGCTACTAACCCTAGTGATCTCGATGAGGACAGAAAACTGGTGGCTTGTTGAAGGTCTGCCCATTTGCCTTGATAATCTTTTCCAGGTATGTGTTAAAACTCAACACAGTTTTGGCAGTTACAGCTTTGGCGGGTAGGCAGTTCCATGGGTTAATAACCCTGTGGGTGAAAAGTATCTCCTGTTCTCAGTCCTACATTGTGGCTTGTTGAGATTGAAACCGTTGCTCATTGTTTGTGTTACAGTTGACCTTATGAAGAAAATATCCGGATCAACATCCTCTCAGTATTTATATCTATATATATCCTCATTTGTTCAGTATTTAAAAGTTTCAATGAGATCTGCCCTGTCATGCCTGGTTTGCAGTGTTGTTAGCCCTGTGGCCTTCAACCGTTCCTGATACGGGAGATGGCTCTGGAATGACTTTTATTGCCCAGTGTTGCATCTTTTCCAAGGCAGCAATGTCCTTCTGAAAATGAGGTCTCCATTCTTGGATACAGTAATCCAAATGACCACAACAAGCACCAGAGAGTTACACAGTTGAACATTCCCTTCTTTTCCTTATAGTCAAAAGTACGCTTGATTATCCCAAGAGTTTGGTTAACATTTCTGACTGCTGCACCCACCTGTTGTACAACTTTTAATGAGTTGTAGATTTTGATTCTATGGTCCTTTTGTTCATTAATCTGCTGTAATGTAATACTATGAATTTGATAGTCGTGGTGTGGGTTATTATGCCCCACATGCAAGTCATGTTTTTTAATATCGACACATGCATCTGCCAGTCTTCTGACCATTCATGGAGTTCATGTAGATTTCTTTGTAAGGCTTCAATATCATTATCATTTCCCACTTTACCATAAATCTTTGTCGCCTGCAAATTTGATGATGTGGTTTGTAATATTTTTATCTATGTCATTGATGTATATGACAAAAAAGGTAGGTCCCAAAATGGACCCTTGTGGCACCTCACTTATCCAGCCCATCTTCCTCTTTTGGTAGTACTGTACTTATAGTACCAATGAGGACCATAGCATATATACACCGACGTACAACGAAATTAGAAAGTAGAAATCGGCACTATCGAGTTGGACAAACTGAATAACTATTTTTTACTTGTGTTGCAAAGACAAATTAAACTAACCTAACCTTCCTAGCTAGGACTAACACACAATATCTGAGGCCTAATATAATACATGTGTGTGCTATATTAGGCCTAGGAATATGCTTTTTAGCTTTTTTTTTTTTAAGAATTCTTCTCTAGTCAGTATACATACCACTATCTAAAAGCCAAGTACTGTACTGTACGTATAAATTCGTGACCATTGACAATCATCACAATAGGTACTATCTAAGCAGAAGGCTGGGTTGACTTATCACATTTCTCCATTCAGATTCGTTTCTATTTAGCACGATCCTTTGTTTTCTTTCCTTCAGCCATTGTTTTATTCATTCTAATATGTTACCATTTATTCCATGGGCCTGTAGTTTTCTTGCAAGTCTTTCATGTGGTACTCTACTACATCCACCGGAAGGCCTTTGAGTAGCTGGTTACCGTTTCCAAAAATGTGAGCAAGTTTGTAAGGCAGGATCTGTTTTTAACAAATCCATGTTGTGTCGACTGTACAAGGTTGTTCACCTGAAAAATGGTGAATGATTCCCTCCCTGAGGATTCTCACCATGAACTTACAGATGTGTGATGTCAAGCTGATCAGCCAATAGTTTTCTGCTGAGCTCTTTCTGCCTTTTTTGAAAATAGGGTAACATTTGCATATTTCCAATCTAGGGGGACTATCCCTAGCTTGTCAAAGGTCTAAGGGAATTATTCCTTGGTCCAGAGATTTTGTGAAAAGTAGTTTTAGCAGTAGACATAGTTCTTCTGCCAGTTCCTTTTAAGACTTTGGATTGGATTCCATCCACACCTGGGACTTCCGAGTCATTTAGTTTCTCAGTGTTCTTTTTTATTATTTCCCATGTTATGGGTATATATGTATTGTTAAATTCATCCTTCACCCCTCCTTCAAACATAGTAGTTTCATAGTTTCTTTTGGCTGCTCTGATTTTTCTGAGTGGCCGAGTTTAGTGCCCTTTTGTATAACTCATAATCAATGAGGTCCATCATGGATTCATAGTTCTCCAGAGGTTCTTCTTGGTTATCAATGCTTGTTTTATGACCTGTCTAGATGATGGCAATGAGAGAGAACAGAAAATAAGACAGGGAAGAAACAGAGGGTTTAGCAAGAAGAGGGGTTGTACAGATCAGATTTTTATAGTGAGGATGGTTATTGAAATGTTTCTAGTAAAAGGGAGAAAGCTGATGGTGCCTTGAAGAAAGTACAATTTTGCTGAGTATTTTCTCATAGTGGTACCTCTAATGAACTTGCAGATGTTGCTGCTAAAGAGACCATTCATGCTTGTCCTGTCTCCCACAAAGGTATTCCTCATTTGGATTTCTATAAAATGGAAGAATGAATGGTGAAATAGTAGAAGATAAAGATTGGGAGACAATTGTTACGAGATGTGATTAACATAATGAAATGAATTGTTTGTACGCGTCACAAAAGTTAAATAGACATGCATGCATTAATAAGCCATTCATATAGTACCAATCTGTCTCTTGGATCATGGCTACAGAAACAATCATACTCACTCCCCAATGCTTCTTGGCAGAGGCTGTTCACGAAGATTTTGGTCCATTTCCTTATCCTCCACTTTATCTAGTCGAGTCCTTTGTCCCGTAAAAGGCCTTAGCGTCTTCTCCCACCATTTACTACAACACCGAATCTTGAACAAAAGTTAACATCGAGTTTCAGTGCTTCAGTATACATTACCATACTGATATATGATAAGAATATAGTATGCGAAATATCACGCACCACACATAAGAAATCTGTATAGTTTCTCCTAGCATACTCTAGACCAATAGACCACTGGAGAGGTTCCTCTCAAAACCAACTGGATCAGTATAAAAATGTGACCACAAAAGATCAAATAACACGACAAAACCAAATATTAAATTAAAAATTAATAAACATATACTTCCTAAATGTAATTTACTTTATTTTCATTGGAGAGCCAACTTGAAATATAACGCCGTGTTACATCCTTCACTGTCAGATTGGCATTGTAGGCGGTGATATATCCTGATCCAGCTGGCATACGTGCCTGAGGAAATTAAATAGGGTTTTTACATGGCAGTACAATACAATAAATTAGTAGGCAAATTTGAATAATTTTTGTAACACAGTAACTATCCACGATGAGGTAGATGAGATTATATTGTCTGTGTATACTGCATGCATGTATATAGTATGTATAGATATATATAAATTATATATATTATACATATACACTATATTTCATATATATAAATAAATATGCATATTTCTTCTTAGATTGCATGATTAAAATGGAAATATCAATAATTTTTTTTTTTTTAATTCTTGTATAGCCACTAGTACGGGTAGCATTTCGGGTTGTAATCAAATGAGTCCATGTTAACTTAGAAGTATTACAATTGAAATATTCTTATTTAAGCTAATGCAAAAATTGTATTCATGATGTAAAACTTGACCTAAATTTGATATAGAGACCATTACTGTACAACTTTCTGTGTCTTACCTCAATATGCGCTATACAATGAATTTTGCCTCTTATAACGTCGACACACACCCATTTCTCCTCCTCTTCTACATAAACTTCTGCCCATTCAATCAGAGGATCACCCTTACTTCTTTTAGTCTTCATTGCTTCATCTTTTCCACATTTCTTTCCCTTATCTGTGGTTTCATTTGCCTCAGAGCTTCTTCTCTTGTTTGAACTTCTACGCCTTTCAGTTAGCGATTTTGGTCCTTTCTTAACCTTAACAGGGTTGGGATCAAAGTCACTATCTCCCCCATCATCACTGAGAGATTTTCTTTTCTCAATATGATTTTCTTTCTTATTTGTTTTCTTTGCATGTCCAGACTTGTTTCTTTGAACTTCAGTTTCAGAATCAGACGATAACATTTTCTTATTAGAATTATCTCCTTTTGCCCTACTACAGTTTATCTTAACATTGTCAATAGAGCTTTTAGCATCCCAAGAACAAGATGGTGCTTGGAATACATTTTTCTCTTCTTTTTTTGGTGGCTTAATTAAATTCTCAGCACTTGGTTTCCAGCTCATTGGCTGGAGGGACAATACCAAACGTGCATTTACTCCAAGAGCACGGAAAATCAGAATAAACATATACACAAGTTCTTGATCTAAACATGCCTTTTTTTTCTCAAACCTCAGCGCCAACGTTTTCTTCAGTGGACGATGCCAATAATTCTCCTCCACATCCTCGGGTTTTACTTGAACTTTCCTTGAAAACCAACCAACAAACTTTTCCAGGTAATTGATATCCAGTCTCTTGGGTGGGTAGTTATTCTTGTCAGTAATAATGGAGAGGGCAACACCAAGAAGTTCATCAGAGTTCAAAAGCTTGTTAACATACCTCCCATGAGCAAAGAGGCATAGAAGATGTACTTTATGCATATTTTCGTGAACTTCTTTAATGGATCGATTAACTTTCTTCCGCAAGTAGTCTTCAATCTATAAAAAAAAATTAAAATTTGAGTCAATTAATTATATTCAGTGCTCTCATTTTATCAGAAAATGGAATATCCCACATTTACATGATAGCATACAGTACATAATGTGAAATTTATAATTGTAAACACTACAATCATAGTACAGTACTGTACTACTTGTGCTTTGCAACATTGATTAATCTTTAAAAAAAATTCACTACTTGTTCATACTGTATTATAAGAAATATTAAAGCATTCTTACCATCTCCTCATGAGTTCGCTTCTTTCTCTTGCGTACACCCCACAGGACATCTGGGGCATCAAGCTCAATCTGGACCCCCTCGGGTTTTGATTGAGTCGAGTGAGACCCAGAGAGCAGCTCCACAGTTTCATCAACTCCTTCCATTTCATCTACTTCCTCCCAGTCACTCATATCAGAATCTGAAGCTGTAATGGATGACTTCTTTTTCGACTTTGCACCACTTTTCTTTCTTGTATCCTTATTTGGTGTACGAGTTTTTTCTTTATCTATAGCTTTAGGTTTTGATTGTTTTGATTTGGGTAATGTATTCTTTCCACCTTTTTTATTAATTGTTGTTGGGGGATTTGGGCTGCTTTTGTTTGCAACATTCTTTTTTTCATGAGCAGCATTTTCTTTGCTTGGATTAATAAAACTTTTCTTTTTCTCAGAAGATGCTGATAATTTTTTTTCAATTTCCTTTTTAGTTTTCCCTCTTGTTGAGGATTGTCCTCTTCTAGAATTTGCTCCCAAGGGGAATCCTTCAAATATCTTTTGTTCTATTACTGTAAAATCCAAATTATCATCCTCAAAATCTTTATTATGATAGTCTACCTTTACATTTTTGTCACCATGCAATTCCTTTTCGGATTTTGGCTTTCTTCTATTTCTTACAGAATTTTGTTTACTTGTAATCTCGTTTGTAACTAACGATGGTTTAGATTTTTGTTCTTTACTCTGCGATCTTGATTTTCTTTTTGATTCTTCATTAGTTGCAACAGCCATATTTTCAGTATCTCCCCGAGTTCTTATACGTGAGAGTTCCTTTTTCATGTTTGGATTTATCTGAGTATCCGATTTATTGGGAAGAACACTAGCAGACCTCGTATGCAGGGTTTTTTTCCTTGATGGTTGTTCACAATTTACAGTGCCAGATCTATGAACAGCCATCACATACTATTTCTCTGGAATGAGAGCAGGTACAGTATTAGCTACATAGGCAAGAACTTGCTTTAAAAATATATATATAAAACAACAAAAATACTGTACAATGCAAGACAGAATATCTAAAAAATACTGTAAAACAAAACACACTAGAGGTCAACAAAATAAATCAAGCACTGAATGTAATGAAACGGCCTTTTCTGGTGAGCCACCAATAGCTTACCGAGTTTATATTACAATGCCTTACCTCCAGGTCTCTTGAGATTCATTCAATGCCTACCAGAATATCTCATGAATTGAGGGGAGCCTGGGTAGAACCCACCAGTAAGTATAGGTGCAGTTAAATAAGCAAATGCATGAAGGAAATAAGGTACCCACCCCACAAGTAAAAAAGGCTAATGATCTGTAGCAGGAATATTAACTATATGTAGCAAGTATATATCAATGAAGTGGGGTAAACATCCTAACTGCTGCACCACTTGGACCATCTGCAATAAAATGAAGATCATGCAAACACACCTTGTTTCAATTTCAAACAAGACAACACAAAAATTGAGTTTTACAGTCTTTCGTAATCAGGTATTACTTTTTTAGGGGGTTTACAACATTTTAACAATTTACATTAACGAGTAACTTTTACAACCCATCCTTCTGTTAAGATACAATAGTACTGTGACGGTCGTCAATAGTCATGAATTCGTACGTACTTAGCTTTTAGATTAGTACTATACTGGTTCCTACGTTCTCCTATAATGATTGTACGTAAAGCAACTACTGTATTGGTAAAACATAAAAAAATGGGCTGTTGAACCCCAAAAAATTCATGCTTTGCATTATTAAATTACCCCAAATATATATATTAAAAATGAACAACTAAGGAAACCTAATCTAACCTGCTCAAGGTGTAAATAAGAAATCCTAAGCCTAGAAATATACTACCTTAGGTCTAATATAGTATATATATACATACACACAAGTTTGGAAATAAGACTGATGAATTATGGAACATATTACTAGATAACATAATACATGGAATCAATGGTTCATTTCAAGAGTTCCTTGTACATACTGTCTATGTATATTATGGGTCCTATAGCACAGTGGTATATTTCCTAGTTCACAATTGAGAAACCTCAGTTCATTTCCCTGGCTGGATATAAACAGTTGGGTGCACTTTCTTTCCTCTGATACCTCTGTTCACTTAACAGTAAAATAAGCAGTTAGACAATTCTTGCAAGTTTCATCCTGGGAAAGGCCAATAGTTTACCTAGGGGGACCGCAAGAAGTCTAAATATAAGCATACTGTCCCGAACAAGGGGAATTATATGAATGAGTTTGGGTAGATATAATTAATAATACCATATAGGAGCTGCCTAATATGCCTTCTGCAGTCTCCTTTATTCCTTCATATACAAATAATGCATCCAACCCATGGGATTGTATACAAAATACTCTGGTTAGGTAAAGATTTAGTACTCATATTCCTCCAATTCATACTATAAAAGCAGAATGCTTCCTAACATGTCTGCTCTACAAGAGTCGAGGGGTGTCCTGGTTGCCATAAACACAAACACACTCACACTGCTATTTCTGGCACAAACTAATCTATATGAACCCATACCGTTTGGTACAATACTAGTACTTGTAATTTAGTACATTTATAGTATTGCAAATTACTTGCTAGTTGAGACCTTGTCACTTGCCTAGCTCAACGGGTTTCGCTCACCGCTCTATCCTATTCTCACCATGTAGGAATACAACCATTAGAGGTTTCCTGTGCGAGATGAATGTATGATGCTGCCGTGCACGTGGTGGCGTCAGTCGAGTGGTGTACACGAGCAGGAGGATGCTGTGTGGAGCGCCTCCCCCCCTTCCCCCATACTAGACTTACACAATGTCAACAAACTCCCACGTCACCGTTACGTCACTATGTGCTCGACGGCCATTGGTCTTCCCGCGGTCTGGCTACTCGTTCTCACTCCTGATTGGCTCTCATTTTCGCGGGTAATGTTATGTCGTCTGCAGACTTCCCTTTGTTGATATACAGTATATATTTTTTTATAACCTGTTGTTACATAACCTGTTAAAATTCATTATAACACCATTACATTATTATAATTACGTTTCATTATAACAATATTACGTTATTATAATTATGTTTCATTATAACATAACATTATGACATTACATTATTAGATTGCATTATTTAGGGGGGGGTCTGATATATCATATTTGATATACTTTTTTTTAGATGACCGGATGACTGTAGAGATGACTGGAGTTTAGTCATCTCACGTATCAGGAACGGTTGAGGGCCACAAGGCTAACAACACTGCAAACCAGGCATGACAGCGTGGATCTCATAGAAACCTTTAAAATACTGAACAATTTGGAGGATGTCGATCCGGACACTTTCTTCAAAAGGTGAGAAGTAACACGAATGAGGAGCAACGAGTTCAAGCTCAACAAGCCACAATGTTGGACAGAAAACAGAAGATGCTTTTTCACTCATAGGGTTGTAAACCCGTGGAACCGCCTACCCGCCGAAGCCCTAAACGCCAAAAGTCTGCTGGGTTTTAAAATACAGCTAGAAAAGATCAGGGCAAATGAGGGGGACCTTTCACAAGCCGCCGGCTAACTGTCCTCATCGAGGTCACTAGCATTGGTGGCCCTCAGGTAAATTCAGGCAAATATCAGTTGCGTCATATCATATCATGGTTGTACAAGAATGTAAGAACTTTTGTATATATAAATAAAAAAAATATCCAGCAGGACCCCTCCACCTTTCAGCTATTTGGTTTAAAAATACCTCCCGATGTTATATTGCTCCATCACGTGTTAGTAATTTTGTGAACACAGATGTATACGTCCCAGTGGCACAGTGGTAAGACACTCGCCGGGCGCTTCGCAAGTGCATTGGCCCAAGTTCGTATCCTGGCTGGGATTAATTGACCAGGCGCCAATCCTTAACTGTAGCCTCTGTTCACCCAGCAGTGAATGGGTACCTGGTTGTTAAACGATTTGGCGGGCTGTATTACGGGGAAAATTAGTATTAAGGACCTGCCCGAAACGCTATGCGTGCTGGTGGCTGTACAAGAATGTAAGAACTTGTGTAAATAAATAAATAAAAATATGATAAAACATTGTGAACTGTGTGAACATTTACATAGCAAAATTTATATCTCTAAATTCCTTGAAGGTATGTTTATCTAAGGTTGGAAGCCAAACGTTTGGGAGTTAGCATCATTAAACTTTACAGATTTATTGGTGAGTGTATAGGAAGTGTTATTGGGGGTAGGGGGCGCCGGCCCTAATACCCATTTCACGAGATCGGTGGAAATGAAATATTTTGCCCCGAGTCCGTAGAGTTTTACATTTGTTTAAAATGTAGCTATTAATCTGAAAAGAAATTGAAAATACAGAGAGAGAGACATTACACTAACGTGACTGCATCGGGGAGAAAATCCGTAGGAGCCATGATGATGGTTCGAGCCTACGTGGTGGGTGTTCTCTCGTACACGCTCTAGCAACTAGACCACGAAATGGTATAAGGATTGTGTGAAAATCCTGTTCCGGCTTCAGTAGAAATCTCAGGAAATCCTTGTGTCTCCAGAACTCCAGGTTGCAATCCTTATACCATGTCGTGGGTTGGTCGCTATAGAGCGTGTGCGATCGAACCCTCATCACGGCTCCTACGGATTTGTTCAAATCGAGAATGTGATGTCGGTAGACTATGAAGTTACTCCCGCAGTCAGATCTCCCAATCCTGAGCACTCCAGGTGCAAACTCTGTGAGCAGGAATGGCGGCATGATCTCCCACACTACACCACCGAATGCCCAGTTATTAGACCATTCAGACCCGTTGGCATGAGGTGCCTGAGGGTTTGCAATTACTTTATTCACTCTCGTGTTCTTGAGGATATCCTCATATTGCACCCACAATTTGCCAGTGTAGGCTACTGAACATATGGCCCTGTATGACTTACCATCCTGCGAGATGGGGACTTTTAGTATCACTACTACCTTATTCACTCTTGTGTTGATGATGATATCCTCATAATGCACCCAGAGTCTGCCAGGGCAGACTACTGATCACATGCCTCTGTATGACTACCCATCTTGTCTGATGAAGATTTTTAGCATCACGTAATTAGCTGGGCAGGAGAGTTTGTGTGGGGGAAGCGAGATATGGGGAGAGGATATCCAGGAACTGGGTCGATCCCAGGCACCACCGGGTACACCATCTAGTATTAAATATAACATTATAGATTGTATTCTTATAAATAAATAAAAACGTTCCCACATTCCATAGTTCGCGTAGCCTAGTACGGTTTTGTAAAATAAAATGAGAAGCTATTTTTCTTACATTCATTTATTTATTTAAAACTTACAGTAATGCGGGGCATTAAACACATGAACGATACAATTTAATTATTTTATTAATTTGGTTGTTTGAACCTTACTTAAACTATATTAGTTTTAAAGCCGTTAGTGTAAAATACAACCACTGCAGTGGCCGCTTCTCTCCTCCCCCACCGCAATACACATTTTGAATTCCTCTTCGGTTCTAAACGACGCTTTGGCGAGGGGTCGTGTCCATCTAAGAGAAAATAAAGAAATATTCATAGAACAGATCAAAATATTAGGAATGTTTCCTCCATTTGTATGTCACAGAAATATAACGATATAGATGTACAGTGTAATGTATTTCCATGTGATTTATTATCATGAAACCTGTCTCATTGCTTTAAAAGGTTGTTGCACAAAAAAATCCTGAACAGTTACTGGTATATTCACACTTAGATTTAGACTGTGATTGATTTTCGCTCCATTTCTCATATCTGAAGATGAACTTCGCATCGCTCGCGTCACTTACATTGATGACGAGAGTGTTGTGTTTGAGGCTGAGGGCGTAGGAGCGCACCACCAGCAGGAAGTAGATCTGGATGGCAGACACCACGAACAAGATGAAGGCGGCGACGAGGGAGGCCGTGATGAAGACGAAGACGATGCCCAGGACGACGCTGAGGGCTATGCTGAAGGCCGTGGCCCACACCCAAGCCATCACCAGACCCGCGCGCTCCTGTGGGTAACAACACACACGTGATGACCCGGACCGGTGCTTTGCGTGTCCTCCGGGTCTGTTTTCTTGTGTGATTTGGAATAATTTTTGTTTTAAGTTGGTTTATGGCCCGTGTTAAGGGTTTCCTCAAATGTTATGTTGGTGTTTGTGCTGTGGTTATACGGGACTACAGCGAAACGTGTTGTATAGTAGGCTCATTCCAGGGTATCATCCACAAGCTAGGTATCTTCCACATGTATACTCACCATGTGGATAACATCCCTTGGAGGTAGATACTCACTGCACAGACTGTGTCACCCTGGAGGTAGATACTTACTGCACAGACTGTGTCACCTTGGAGGTAGATACTCACTGCACAGACTGTGTCACCCTGGAGATAGATACTCACCTTGTGAATAAGATCACCCTAGAGCAGATACCGTGTGGATAAGGTGCCCCCTGAAGATAAATACTCACCGTGCGGATGCCGTGGATGAGCACAATAGCCACGATGATGTTGAAGATGTTAATGACCAGGTCCAGCCATCCCTCCGTCACACCTGTCCCAGAAAGGAAAGAACAGGGGTAAACCAAGTTAGTTTTTTTCTTTTATGTAGACGTGCCTATGTATATTTCCACGTTTCGGTATATATTTTACAACCGTGCCTGTATCTTTCTCTGTATCTCTCTCACTCTGTGTTACAGTAGGTTACTTGTACTCACCTGCCACCACCAGGTAAATGCTGTAGCCAGCAGTAGCTAGTCCAAACAGCTGAAAACAGTAATACAAATATATTAACAACAGTAATACAAAAAAAGAACGAAAAGTTTCTTGGCAGCGTACTAAGTTGTACTCATGCTGGGGATGAGCCAAAGCTCTTGGGTCCTGCCTCTTAATCGACTGGTGTATATAGGCCCCCAGAGCCCATGGGTTCTGTCTTATCTACATTTAAAGCTGTGTATGGAGTTCGCCCTCAACATATGGCTTTACAGGAAAAATTATGAGACCTTTGACTAGCCGCCGGCTTGTTGTCCTCGTCGTGGAGACAGATGTTGGCCCTTAGGTAAATTCTGGTAATGCTGCCAACATTTGTCTTCCACTGACAACATATGGCTTATACTGATAACATATTGATGAAAAGAGTCCCAATTACTTATAACGAAGTAGATAAACTTTTAAGTTGACAGCAGACATTATTTGGAGAAAGCATTATGGGTGTACTGACTAAACTGAATATAAGTGTGTAACTATCAACTGAACGTTTGTACAGACTGAGTACAGAGACATACGACTGCTATAATGAGCTGAGTTACTGACCAGACTGAGTACAGATACATACTACTGTCATAATGAGCTGAGTTACTGACCAGACTGAGTACAGCAATGATGATGGTGCCTGTACGAAGCGAGCAGCCGCAGCAGCAGTTCTTCAGAACACACTTTTCGCTCTCCATTTTGCTGTCGAGAAAATATGTATAAAAATGTTAAACAATGATAACTCAAAAGATCGTTAATAATAATATCGACAATACTGATGATGATAATAGCACTAATTACCGAGTACTAGTGTGGCATATGTACACCTGTGTGCCCAATCGACCATAGATGTATTCTTGTCATCAAAATACACTGGTGAAATGATGAAAATGTATCATATTCTTATAGGCCTGGATGACACAGCCACGTGAGTCTATGCAGAGCATCTACCGTCTGTATTATTTGTTTTCTTTTGCATTGGACAATTTTATTTTGTCATTGCTTATCATGTGAGTGAACACGCTGACAAAGGACAGTACTGGACAGTGTCACCTATCATGAGAGTGAACACGTTCAAATAAGGACAGCATTTATGCAGTGTTATTCATCCTGTGAGTGAACACATCGTCATAAGGACAGTATTAGGCAGAGTAATGTAATGATTCTGTTTAAGACGCTCCGTAGCAGCATATATACACAGTATCCTCTAACAGGATGAAAACACGCTGGATTGTTCATCCTGTCACTTGTACTCAGACGCAGTTGGGACTCGCTTAACTGTCTGAAGTGAACAGATGCTACACAAATATATTAACATTCACCAACCCACATGCTAAGGTTTTTATGGTATAGGTGCAGATTAGGGATATATATTTTGGACATTTTTAAGACTGTCCATAATTACTAGAAAATGTAGTCCAGCAGACAACAATTAATGTTGGCTATTAAGAAAATTATCCACAGAAATCTCTAAGCCGATTAGGCTGTGCCACTAATCTTCACACACGCTTCATTATTAGGCTGTCCATTATAGCCTAGTGAACATTATTAATTGCAAACACTATAACGTTTGAGCTAGTGTACGAATTAGTATGTCTAGTACACAGGGTTGTCATATGTATATGTACACCACCATAACTGAGAACAATTTATAACGTACCTTAATATAGTATTCTTTTGATATTTACTTACCTTAATTATGGTAATGTACAACGACTGAAGGTACTTGAGTGAAGAACCACGTTAACTGGAGGTGCTTGACGAGTGAAGAACCACGTTAGCTGGAGAACTTAACGAATGCAAAGCTTTAGAACTTGCTCTGAACAAAGCTTGTGCTGTGAGTACACTGATCCACACTCTCACAGGTCACCTTTATATACAGGTTGGGGAAAGGGGCGCGGTAATATCACAAAAGCTTGGCCTTCCAAGGACAGTAATCCTTGCGGAAATATACCCCCAAGACACAGAAACCCAGCATTTAAAGCCACGATTTTTGTAACTTGGAAAATGTGCCTAGAATGCAAATCACCGATGGCAATGCATGAATATTCACGAATTCGATCGAAGGTTTTATATTGAATTTAATGCATAGTGTATTTCTGAGAGAATGATATGAGAGAATTGGGTCGCTGGGTCAGGTATTACCTCACATCCTTCCTGGCAATAAGCAAGACACCATGTGGACCGCGGGCTTCCGACCCGCTGTATGACGCCATTTGTGGAAGCCCCTGTGTATCAAGGACATGTAATTTCTTGTTTAGCCCACATTGACAAACTTGGCAGTGAAAGTGATTTCAATAACAATATTAATACAACATAAAAATGAAAAATTATTATTATTATTTTATTATTATTATTATTATTATTATTATTATTATTATTATTATTATTATTATTATTATTATTATTGTTACAACTAAGGTTCTGTTCTATCTCGTGATGATCTATAGAAACATAGCTGTTCACCTTCTATTCCCTCTTAACGGCAGATTACGCAATGGTTATTTAGTAAATTAAGGTGATTTTTTTTAATCTCAATTTTTTTTTTTAATAAAAGCCCCCCAAAAATTGAGAGCAAAGATATTGCGTAAAATTATCCGATGATAAAATTTCTACTAAATTCATTTTGGAAGACTCATGATCATCGAAAAATATTTATTGTGCTCAGCTGCGCCAAGAGAGTCTTACAGATTATGTGTCTTCTTTGCACTTTCAGTGGAATTTACGTTCATTCAATAACAGGGTGCCAAAACTATAGAACGGTGACAAAATCTATAATACAGTGCCAAAACTACAGTACGGTGACGAACTATAATACTGCTAAAAGTACAGCATGGTGACAAAAACTATAATACGGTGCCAAAACTATAATACGGTGACAAAAACTACAATACGGTGCAGCACATTGGGTAGGGTAACAGCACATTACTGTGTATACCTAAGCTTGTTAATAATAATAATAAAAAAATCTGAGTGGCCGAGTTTAGTGCCCTTTTGTATAACTGATAATCAATGAGGTCCATCGTGGATTTATATGTTCTCCAGAGGTTCTTCTTGGTTACCAGTACTCGTTTTACGACCTGTGTCATCCACCTAGTTCCGTTTCTTGTCTTCTGTTCGGCACATATTTTTGAACGGGTTCCATGATGACCCTCTTGAAATTTTGCCATGATGCTTCCGTGCCATGTTCGCCCATCAGCTGCCTCCCCCTAGATTGACCATGTAATGTATCAATTATACAATGTATGTATGTGATGTAACTATATAACCTGAGCTTGTAAAAGCATCTTCATCACCTTCAGTGGTTAAGTTCTTAATTGTACACTAGTTTCTCTATCAGCTATCTTACCCTGTCAGAGTAAAAGAGACAAATATATGTGTGTATGTATGTATGTATGTATGTATGTATGTATGTATGTATGTATGTATGTATGTATGTATGTATGTATGTGTATGTGTGTGTATAAAGTATATGTGGAAGCTGATCAGAATTACATTTCACCATTGTAAATTCACATTAATGACACTATGTAAAAGACACATCGAGCACTTTATGTAGCATACATAAATCTGTGTATCTATGTATTTACGTATGTAGCTTAGCCTAACATTTTAAAAGCACTACAATCACCTTCTGTAGTTGATTGTTCAATAACAGAAGGAAAAAGAAGAAGAAAAAGACAGAAGAAAATGTATTTATGCTGGTTATTATGGTAAATGTGTGGCCACGTCTGAGGTAGAAAATAATAATAATAATAATAAAAAGCTGCCTCCAGGAGATTTTTGCAGTTCCTCTCTCATTCCTTGATTGTCACCTCGCTGGTAATCTAGAAAGTCATCACCTTTATATGGATGGGTTTCTATATTCGTAGTCCATCTTAAAATATTCTGGTAGCACGAGGGGGTTAGTTTTTCTCCTGCAGGTCACCTGACCTGTATCTCAGTTGAGGCCCCAAGACACACTAACTCTATTAAAAAACGCTTACCAGTGGGACAGGCTCCACCCCCCCTAGTTCCTAGGCCCAAATTAACTCCGCCTATCCCAAGCCTATGGCCAATGGATTTAAACATAACTAGGTGATCTAGCATACGGGCCAATGGCATGGACAGGCACTACCCTGAGGGACTCTGCCTCTCTACTCAACCAATGAACACAGAGTGTCACTCTTAGGCCAGCCAAAACTCTTGACTTAGCTCCGCCCCCTAGGCTCCTTGGACAATAGGCCTGTCCTGAAAGTTCTGTTTTACTCCCGTAGGATCATGAACCATTCCCAAGCTACAACAGGAAACCCAAACGGTCGTATGGCTCCCAGCTCCCTCACTCGAAACTTGAGAACTACGGTAATTCGCCATTGTTCTTAAAACTGTCAAATGATTAGTGGCAAAGGCAGGAGAGGGAAAACGGGTTAGAAAAGGGGGATTGGAAATGACTGGGAGACAAATGATTTGGAAAGATTGGAGACAGGGATTGGGGAACAAGTGACTTGACCACCTGCCTAAGGTAATTTGACTGGTAAGAAGGGGAACTGCCCGCAGGGAGGGGGAGAATGACCAGAGGTCGGACTGAGGACTGACACATACCCCTACACTCCCCCTCCCCCCCCCCCCCGCCACCGGATGTCATGTTACTAAATACCTCAAGTCACTATTTAAAATATTTAATATATATTTTTTTTAAATCATTTGTGCGTTTTCTACATATTTCTACATATTTGTAGCACAATAGCAAGACGTGATGGCATTATAGCATGGCAGACTAAGAAATTAGGTCACAGTTCTGGTTCAGAAAATAATAATTAAATTCATACGTGGCATAATATGCGAGATACCAACCTTTGCAAACAAATATTCGCCTAACCCTATATATTACCGGGTTTAACATGTGATTACGATCGTAATGAATACCAGATACCTTGAACTGTGATTCGCGTGTTGGTTAAATTTATTGCCAATCCGATTATTATATCCAGATTGTAAAGAAATTTTGTTAGTTATATTGGTAGCCCTTTTCGCTATCAGACCAGTGACTTTTTTTTGTTTTTTAGATAAATACAAGAGTTTTTAGAATCTTCTAGGGCCACTTGTACGCGAAGCGTTCTGGGCAGGAATACGACCCTCAGGAAGAATCATTGTTACAACCAAGTACACATTTTACTGTTGAGTTAAACAGAGGCTACAGTAAGGGATTTGCGCCCACTACACCACGGAGACCATTTTACCCCGCAAGTTTAACATGGAAAGGATTTTTCAACTGTTTCACAACATTTTGGGCTCGGTCGATTATAGAAATTCTCACATTTCAACAACAAATATTCTCAGGGCCTTTCTTCAGATGTTAGAGCCATCATTAGTGCGAATATTGCAGCAATTGTTAGAACAATATGGCATTGGAAGAGAAGAGTTATCAAATACAAACCCACGCAGATTAGAAGATAGTGATTTTTCTCCTTCGCCCCCTGAGATTAACATTGACCAGCCGGAACATCCTTCCACAGGAGATCAAGTCATCAATATTCGCAATGAAGTTCTCATTATAAACGAATTGTCAGGAGGTAGTATTAACGTGCATATTAGTAACAATATAAATTTTTAAGTTTTTTTTATGGCTGGGTTTCACAATTTAGTATTTGAAAGTGCACAATAAAATATATTTTCATGCGATTGCAATTGCCAGAAACTGGAAATTCGCCAGTCAGAAAAATAACATTGCTTATTATACAAACAGTCAACATTGCAGGGATCTGATGAAGTCATTATATATGTGCCTTATGTAAACTATTTTTTTTGCGCTACCACTCACAAGATGGGTATGGGGTGCACAATAAATTAACCGGTGATAGCTGGCGGCAACAATAAAAAATTGAGTTTTACTTTACCTTGTAGTGGTTTGAGGGTTCAAGTGTCGAATCTGTCTGATCCCTGACTTGGTCTCACGGCTGACAGTTTTCGTTTTCCGTAATAACTACAATATAAAGTGATGGGAGTCAATTCACTGGTGAAGTTGCATATCTAAAATCCTCTAAAATAATACAGTGTGAGTTTGAAGCACAAAGTAAGAAACTATGAGGATGAAATTAGGTACTTTTGGTTTTACTTTGGAATAAAGCATAAGTTGATTTTTTTTTTAATTCATTAGGGAGTGAGTTCCATACACTGGGTCCTTTTATTTGCATGGAGTGTTTGCACAGATTGAATCTGACTCTGGGGATATCAAAGAGATATTTATTTCTGGTGTGGTGTTCATGGATTCTATTATATCTATCAAGGAAGAGTTTCAGATAAGGGTTAGCATTTAGGAACAAGGTTTTATACATGTAAGTAGCACAGGAGAATGTGTGTGAGTGTATGTTTAGCATGTTTATTGATTTAAAGAGAGGGGGCTGTGTTTTGACTGATTGCAGAGTTTGTTATAGTTCTTATATGAGAGCATATTCACCCATATATGGGTGCACAGCACTGTGTTGCTATATATGCCCTAGCTTATATGAGGGGTTATATGGTAAGGATCAAGAGTCTGCCAGGTTTACCTAATATCCTTATCTCGTAGGACGCTTGGTCATACATGGGATACCAGTTTAGTCTACTAGACTATTAGTAAATTTCGAGGAGAATATGAGGATATCTTCAAATATCCTTGAGTGAATGAAATGGTTTCAAAGCTTCTGTTACCTCATGTCATTGGGCTAAAGTCATTTATGATTTGTTGTTCACTAATGTAAATTTGAACTAACTACCCAGTCCCTAAAATCTGATCTTGTCCAGGCTACTGTATCCTCTAAAAAGGGGATTTACATCAACGAATTCTTGCCTAGAAAAAGACAGAGAACTCCTCTACCGCCTGCGACAAATCCGGAAACAAAACCAAGGTGTGATCCATCAGTGCATTGCTAGAGATGGCATGATAGAAGTGAGGAAAACTCCTACAGGTAAAATGTTTACAATTGCAAATGAGGATAACCTCAACACATTCCTCACCCAATGTGGTTTGTTTCACCTGATTAACCCTATCAATGCCTCATTTTAATTAGTCCCCTTGTCACCAAGTGCTGGTTAGGTAACCTAGGTTTTTTTGTTACCTAGGTTGCCTGGCCTCTCCATACTCACTTGTTCCATTGTTCCCTTGGCTTTGCCTGTGTCTCATAGTGCAAATTATTACTTTTAGTACTCCCTTGCTCCATTGTTCCCTTGGCTTTGCCTGTGTCTCATAGTGCAAATTATTACTTTTAGTGTACCTGTGTGTACCTCAAAGCTATCTACCTCATTTTTGTATAGTTTTGTATATTTTTAATATCTATATCTTTTTTATAATTTTTGTTTTGCATTTTTTACCATTAAAACAACCCTCTTATGCAAATTAGTGTAGACCCAGAACTAAACCTCTTATCTAGTATCTATGACAATCATCATTTTAATAGTCAAAATTGCAGGTATTATGCAGCACATGATGCAAACAACGTTTTAACTACTCAACTCTTTAACATACTAAACTACTCAGCAATTCACAACTGTCGACCAATACAGAGAGGTGGTGGTACTTTTTACTACCACCAAGAACTGACATGCTTAAAAGTAATTAGAGCTAGAGACTCCTGTGGAGAATATATCTTTGCCTGTTTCAGAGTCAAGGGTGGCGAGGCTGTCCTGACTGTGGGAGCAGTCTACAGAATTCCTAACACTAATGTGTCTGAATTCAACTCTAACCTTAGAAAGCTAATACTAGCTAACAGACTTAACAAAACCCAACTAATAATTTCGGGGGATTTTAATATTGATCTCTGCAAGCCTGATAACCCTCATGCTGCTAGTTTCCTCAACTGTATGAATTCCTGCTTCCTCATACCCTTATTCACTAAACCCACTAGAATCACTGATAGTACTGCCACGGCTCTTGACCACATCTGGACTAACATAACCTCTCCATTTACTTCAGGAATAATCACTGATAGGACTACAGATCATTAACCCACATTTCTCCTAACCAACATTAATAAACCGCCTCTAAATACCATGAAGATAAACTTTAGGCTGCATAATGAAACTTCTATAAGCAACTTTATTGCTGCTGCTGCTAATATCAACCGGGTTGTGCATGGTCAGGCTTCGGTTCGTGCATGGTTGTGCTTCAGCGGTTGTTTGTGTACTAGTGTTCCAGGTTTGTTTGCTAAGGCTCTGTTTATGTTTGCTAGAAATCCGGGTTTCGTTTTTTGTATATAGTTCAATTGTTTGCTATGGGTCAATATAGTTTGGTGTCTAGGACAAGTGGAGGATTTTAGGTAGGACTAATGAGATTTTTGTTTGGTTGTGCTCTGGGACTGTTTAGCTTTGCGGGGGTTGGATACTTGCTAGGCATAAGGTTAGACAAGTGATCGGGGTCCGGTTACACAACTGGTCGAGCTATGGTTACACAACTGGTTGGGCTCCGGTTACATAACTGGTCGGGCTCCGGGGGTGTCACTTAAAGGCTTCGGGTTGTGCATAGTCGGGCTTTGGTTCATGCATGGTTGTGATCCAGAGGTTGTTTGGTTCGTTCATGCTAGGCTTACGGTTACACAACTGGTCGGGGTCTGGTTACACAACTGGTTGAGCTTCGGTTACACAACTGGTCGGGCTCCGGTTAAATAACTGGTCGGGCTCCGGGTGTGTCACTTGGGCTGTGGGTTGTGCATGGTCAGGCTTCGGTTCGTGCATGGTTGTGCTTCAGCGGTTGTTTGTGTACTAGTGCTCCAGGTTTGTTTGCTGAGGCTCTATGTTTATATGTTTGCTAGAAATCCGGGTTTCGTTTTTTGTATATAGTTCAATTGTTTGCTATGGGTCAATAGTTGGTGTCTAGGGCAATTGGAGGATTTTAGGTAGGGCTAATGAGATTTTTGTTTGGTCGAGCTAGGAATGGAGTTTGGTTGTGCTCTGGTACTGTTTAGCTTTGTGGGGGTTGGATGAGATGTATACTTGCTAGGCTTAAGGTTAGACAACTGGTCGGGGTCTGGTTACACAACTGGTTGAGCTTCGGTTACACAACTGGTCGGGCTCCGGTTAAATAACTGGTCGGGCTCCGGGGGTGTCACTTGGGCTGTGGGTTGTGCATGGTCAGGCTTCGGTTCGTGCATGGTTGTACTTCAGCGGTTGTTTGTGTACTAGTGCTCCAGGTTTGTTTGCTAAGGCTCTATGTTTATATGTTTGCTAGAAATCCGGGTTTCGTTTTTTGTATATAGTTCAATTGTTTGCTATGGGTCAATATAGTTTGGTGTCTAGGACAAGTGGAGGATTTTAGGTAGGACTAATGAGATTTTTGTTTGGTTGTGCTCTGGGACTGTTTAGCTTTGTGGGGGTTGGATACTTGCTAGGCATAAGGTTAGACAACTGATCGGGGTCCGGTTACACAACTGGTCGGGCTCCGGTTACATAACTGGTCGGGCTCCGGGGGTGTCACTCAAAGGCTTCGGGTTGTGCATAGTCGGGCTTTGGTTCATGCATGGTTGTGATCCAGAGGTTGTTTGGTTCGTTCATGCTAGGCTTACGGTTACACAACTGGTCGGGGTCTGGTTACACAACTGGTTGAGCTTCGGTTACACAACTGGTCGGGCTCCGGTTAAATAACTGGTCGGGCTCCGGTTAAATAACTAACTGGTCGGGCTCCGGTTAAATAACTGGTCGGGCTCCGGGGGTGTCACTTGGGCTGTGGGTTGTGCATGGTCAGGCTTCGGTTCGTGCATGGTTGTGCTTCAGCGGTTGTTTGTGTACTAGTGCTCCAGGTTTGTTTGCTAAGGCTCTATGTTTATATGTTTGCTAGAAATCCGGGTTTCGTTTTTTGTATATAGTTCAATTGTTTGCTATGGGTCAATATAGTTTGGTGTCTAGGGCAAGTGGAGGATTTTAGGTAGGGCTAATGAGATTTTTGTTTGGTCGAGCTAGGAATGGAGTTTGGTTGTGCTCTGGGACTGTTTAGCTTTGTGGGGGTTGGATGAGATGTATACTTGCTAGGCTTAAGGTTAGACAACTGGTCGGGGTCTGGTTACACAACTGGTTGAGCTTCGGTTACACAACTGGTCGGGCTCCGGTTAAATAACTGGTCGGGCTCCGGTTAAATAACTAACTGGTCGGGCTCCGGTTAAATAACTGGTCGGGCTCCGGGGGTGTCACTTGGGCTGTGGGTTGTGCATGGTCAGGCTTCGGTTCGTGCATGGTTGTGCTTCAGCGGTTGTTTGGTTCGTTCATGCTAGGCTTGCAGTTACACAACTCTTCGGGGTCCGGTTACACAACTTGTGGGGCTCCGGTTGCACAACTGGTCGGGCTCCGGTTAAATAACTGGTCGGGCTTCGGTTAAATAATTGGGCGGGCTCCGGTTAAATAACTGGTCGGGCTCCGGTTAAATAACTGGTCGGGCTCCGGGGGTGTCACTGGGACTTGGGTTGTGCATAGTCGGGCTTCCGTTCGTGCATATGGTTGTGATCCAGAGGTTGTTTGTTTGGTTCGTTCATGCTAGGCTTGCTTTTAGACAACTGGTCGGGCTCCGGTTACACAACTTGTCGGGTTCTGATTGCATTACTCTAGGGGTGTGACTTGTTGGGCTTTGGGTTGTGCATGGTTGTGCTCCGGTTCGTACATGGTTGTGCTCCGGTTCGTACATGGTTGTGCTCCAGTGGTTGTTTGTGTACTAATGCTTCAGGTTTGTATGCTAGGGCTTTGTTTGTTTGCTAGAAATTTGGATGTCTTTTTTGTATATAATTCAATTGTTTAAATAAAGTTAGATATATAGACACACATACTAAAAGAATAGGGGTGATAGAAGAAAATATCAGTGTTCAGTGAGGATCCACAAGGCCTTCTCTGGGTACTCCTTATTTTCTTCTCAGAGGCTATATTGGTCCCTACACTTGCACTAGAGGTGGTAACCCCTTTTAGGTTAAAAAAATTATATATATATATATATATATATATATATATATATATATATATATATATATATATATATATATATATATATATATATATATATATTGGGCTACTCTTATTACAAATTCGTTACTTTTAGGCCGTCAGGTCGCTACTTTCAGCAATTTGGATCTGGCAACCCTGTGTGAGTGGCCAGTCTTGGTGCAGGAACACGGAGGTAAACATTAGCAGCTAGTTGGTGGTGGTCTCGTGTTGCTGGTGGCAGGGTGTGTGTAGGGGGTGTCACGGTGGGGAGGAGGGCATGTGGGGTCACACTGGGGGTCGTATCGGGGTCACGGGGGAAGCCATGAGGGGGTCACACAGGAAGGATGGTGGGGCTACATAAGCCCAAGCTGAGTTGGGGGCATTTCGTAGACCGGCGTTGAACTAGGGGGGTTTCAAGGCACATTGTGCACGTGTTTTTGTCAAGGGATTTCAGCTCCACCTAACACAACCCAAACCATTCTAGCCTTACCCAATTGAGTCTAATCTGAGTGTTAACAGTCTAACCTAACCTTATGTATTGTTTTGATAATCTGAAAATGAGCTTTGTCAAACTTTCTTGTATATGATTTAACTATGCCCCAGTGGGTCAAGTTATACAAAACCGTTTCTTCTAAGCTCAATTTTTAATTATTGAAAAGTACATCGTAACATAATGATATATTATTAAGTTGGCATCCTTTAGTATATAAGTGATTTGCAGTCGCTTCACATTTATGCATTTCAGGGTCCCGGTAGTATAGTTGGCTTCATTCTCGACTCGCAATCGAGAATTCTGGGTTCGAATCCCTGGCAGGACAGAAATTCTTGGTTGCGATTCCTATCGCCTAATGCATCTGTTCACCTAGCAGTAAATAGGTACCCAGGAGTTAGTTTGTTGTGGGGTTACATCCTAGGGAAGGTCAGTAATGTGACCTTGGAGAGGGGGGTGGGGACCTTCAACATAAGCCTAACATGTACTGTAAACTGGCTGCCTGTCCCCTGACACAATAAATGCAATTATTAATTATTCATCTGTGATACATTTTTGTATGTATTTTTATGGAAGACAAGCAAAAAACTGATTTAATTTACGCAGATTTTCCAAAAGCCTTTGACACTTGTGAACATGGTGTTATTGCACACAAAATGTGTTCAAAAGGAATTACCAGAAACATAGGCAGATGGATCTAACTTTCCCCTGACTAGATGGATAGATTAAAATGCCTAAATCTGTATTCTCTAGAGTGCAAGCGGGAGAGATGCATAATAATTTAAATGGAAAATATTAGAGGGGCTGGTCCCAAATCTTCACACAGAAATAACATCACATGAGACCAGAAAGCATGGCAGGATGTTCAAAATACCCGCAATGAAAAGCAGAGCTGCAATAGGTACTCTGAGAGAGAACTTGATGAACATCAGAGGCCCGAGACTGTTCAAGATGATTACACTTAGAGATGCTATACATAAGGGCATAATTGGCCAACCCTTCTCAGTGTTCATGAGAGAACTTGTTAAATACCTCCAATGGATACCTGATCAACCAGGCTGTGATTCATACATCAGGCTGCGAGCAACTGCATCCAATAGCCTGGTTGACCAGTCCAGCAACTGGGAGGCCTGGTCTGGGACATTGAGCCCCAAAATCATTGTTAGGTAACCGCAAGGTAAAAATCTCGTTCACAATGGGGCTATTATTACGTTTATGCACTAATAGGATTTTTCATCTTGTTGCGCTGTGTCAAGTAGATAACCCAGTAAATGATCTCCCACATCCCAGTGTAATTATAGGCCAGACTCCTGAGTTTGAGGAACAGTTTAATGTGAATACATCATCCATTTTTTTTCTGGTTCTAATTGTTTTAAACTTTTCCAGATTCATTATACAAGATTACAAGATGTCTAGAATACTACGAACTTTTCTTCAGAATCTGTATGGAACACCTGGTGTATTTAGGGCACAATTGCACCATAAATTGTATAGAACGGAATACAATATTGCCAAGAATTGTTCTCAAATAAATAGACTGGCATACACGCCTTCTAGTATCAGATGTTATTCAAGTAAGTATTGAAATGTTAAAATTCTGTCACATCTAGTACTTTGCTAGGGAATATTTTATCTGCATCTTTTAAACAAATCCACAAGGGCCGTGACGAGGATTCGAACCTGCGTCCGGGAGCATCCTCGTCACGGCCCTTGTGGATTTGTTCATTTGATGCATCACGTTATTGTGATTTCTGTGTGTACTGTGTGTACTGTGTGTACCGATTGAACGCCTCAGGTCACTGGAATGTTGGTGGGCTGGTACTCTTGTCTTCTGGTCATATTCTTTTGGTCTTGTTTATTTGACTGCTTGCGCACTTGTCCTGTTTTGCCCGGCACTTTTGGATTCCTAGCATGTCTCCTGCATTGAGTTCCTTTGTGCACACTTTGTGATGAGAATTCACTTTGTACAATTTTATATTACAGTATATATTTTAAGCATTATTTAAATCTTTATATTAGGTCGTCTCACAAAGCTCACTATTATGCTATCAAAAGGAATTGGCTCTATGTAAATGAACTTAACATGCTGTAGTATAATCCAATTTAATGTAAAAAAAAGAAGATTCTAATCTGTGATTAAACCACTGTAAATTAATGATAGGAAATACTATACATAGTAGCTCTGTTTATTGCCACATTTGTTTTTCTCCATTTTTACCTAAGATGGCAATAGAAAATGTGTGGACATAATTGGTTTAAGCTGAGAGTAAACATTCAGAAGGATTTAATGATATGCATTATATTAAAAAATCCATTATCATTTCAGGTTCAAGTACTTATGAAACTACAAAGCGGATTAATAACAAATTTGATAAAGATCGTGTTAAACATGACGGTAACCATGCACTAACATCTGTACTTCCCGATAATGATTTTGTTGAAGAAAATCTAGAGAACTTGCTGCCAAGCCAGCGGCAAAAGCATTACAGTGATATTCTGTTAACAAAGATCTACGAGTGTCAAACAGCAGACGAAGTATTTGATATTTATAAACAACATCGAGAAGTTATGAATGTACGCCATCTTCTGACCACAATGCGGCAGCTCAATGATCTTGTTTTTCAAGGGTAAGTTTTATTTAGTTTTTAAGTTCTAGTACATATGTATTACTGTATGTATAAAAAGTGCATATAATATGTTTATACAAGTCAATATAGTCTACAGTACAGTGGTACCTTGGTTTTTTAATTTAATCTGTTCCCAGAGACAGGTCTTAAACCAAAAATTTGCAAACCGAAACGGATTTTCCCATAAGAAATAATATAAATTGAATTAATCCGTTCCGCACTCCCCAAAAATATTAACTTCAAAATACATGAAGTGGTGATGAAATACATTTGGGCACCATTTGGCAATGGTACCCAAATGGTGTTTTATCTTGACTTCTCATGAATCCGGCCTCCGGCATAGCATATGTATATGAAATGGCCTTGCTTAGAAAGGCCATACTTTACATACCAACTCGAAACCATATTTTCTTTACAGTGTTGAAGATGGAGCCGTGTTACATGAAATGGAGGACTTCAGAGATCTCTGCCATGAAATATATGGCTCTGCACGGCGGATGGAGGCTGACGAGTTGATAGAAGTCCTGAAATACTTGTGTAGACTAGAAGTGTCTCCCGAGTCAAAACTCATCCAATGTATATTGCAGGTTGGTGTACCTTATGTTTTCTGTCTCTACGTTTCACCTTGCATGTATAGCTAATACAGTATTTAGATCATTATGTGAACATCTTTAATGTTGGAAACCCCAAAACATTTTTAATGGAAGCTTCCTGTCCGTATACCACATTGATTTACATGTCCCACTGCTACTGGCTGGCTTGCTTGCTTGCCCCCCCCCCCCCCCAAAAAAAAAATGTACCTTTCTGTTTTAGTCAACTGTTGTGTATCTGAACCTGTGAATTGGTCAGAGCATAAATGCTTCTGGTCCCTGCACTGGCAATTGGCAATTTGTCATTACTGTAATGAGAATCAACCACAAAACATTTATGGAGAGGTAGCCACATATAGAATTAAACATTTTTTTTTAATCTCATTTGTTTAACATAAACCTTTAAAACAATTTAAAGCAAAGTAATCTCTCATACTCTATATAATAGACAGTATCCCTATTTTAACAAACTTTTAAAACAGTTTAAAGCAAAGTAATCTCTCATACTCTATATAATATACAGTATCCCTATTCTGTATTGGTTTACTTAATTAATAATTTGTAGCTACCGGTATGTTTTATATAAATTAATTTTTATATGTGGTTTAGTGCAATCCCAGTAGACCAACTGAATCCTTTGGCAGCCTCCTGAAAAAAAAAAATTGGCATTATATTCATTTCCAGAACTCGACTGCCACATAAAATGGTAAAAGGAACATGCTTATTGTTATTGGGCTGTGGTAGGTTTTAGAACCATTTTTAGACATAAGTGGGAAAGGCAGCCTTGAGCAATGTACAGTATAGTTCTAGTATGAAAAAAAAAATAGGCTCAACTGTGCTTATTTTTTTTATATACAGTATATACATGCCCTAATAATAGGGGCTGCACCTAGTAGTCTCAGTTGCAATTGTTATCCTTAAGTTTTGCTTGAGCATTATTTTTGTTTTCGTACGTGCAGTAATATATTGCAAGACTCGTTAAAAATTAAAACTTTAAATGTATAAGTGAATACCCCACACCCTATGAAATTCTCATGCAGTGGAAATGTTTTATGATAGAGCACCTTGGCACAGTAGAAGCATTCTACCGGTAAAATTGTAGAGATATCAAAATCTAATAATCAAAATAAATTTGTCTGATCTAATGTAAATTATTTTGCTTTACAGATGTTGAAACACTTCATCAATGATTTGGAGGTCAAACAACTGATGTTCTTGGATTTCTTACTGAAAAAGATGCCTTTGACAGCGTTGTCTGATGCTTTACTGACGGCAATTCCTATACTTATTGAAAATTGCCTCAAGCCAGAAATGCTGGTGGACTACTCCCTGTCAGAGCTTTCACATGTAAGGTTCATATAATTGTATTGGAAATTAGTTGTAGCATCATGTTACTTTTAATATATCAAAATGCACATAGTCTACAGACTAGTATCCCATCAGTAGATGGGATATAGATTTTATATAAAACCTACATGGTGACATCGTCATCATTATCATTTCTCATTTAATTTCAAAATCTTTATTGATGATGTTTATACATTTATAATTTTAACGTACATTATTTACCCAAGAGAAAGTTATAACAGCATAACTTGTAATTATAATAAATATATACTGTTAGCTAGATATAGATTTATTCAGCGATTTGTAAAAAATAAAAATTAGTTGTGGCTGGATTGAAGAGATGTTATAGCCATAGAAAAATCTTAGAGTTTACCATTAGAGCAGTGAGACAGATGATGGCAAAACACCTGCTTGATGGAGTTCTGGGAGTTCTTCTACTCCCTAAGCCCAGCCCGAGGCCAGGCTTGACTTGTGAGAGTTTGGTCCACCAGGCTGTTGCTTGGAGCGGCCCACAGGCCCACATACCCACCACAGCTAGGTTGGTCCGGCACTCCTTGGAGAAAACTATCTAGTTTTCACTTGAAGGATGTCCACGGTTGTTCTGGCAATATTTCTTATGCTTGCTGGGAGGGTGTTGAACAACCGTGGACCTCTGATGCCTCTACAGTGTTCTCTGATTGTGCCTATGGCATCCATGCTCTTCACTGGTTCTATTCTGCATTTTCTTCCATATCGTTCACAAAAGTATGTTGTTACTTTACTGAGTAGATTTAGGACATCTCTCGTATCATTTTCCTCTGAACCTATTTTGTAGGATGGGGAGATACCCTGCTTGGAAAAAAAACAGCAATATAGTAAAGGAGTTTATAAGTACTGGATTAACAATTAGCACTTGTATATTTACTATATCATACACACCATGTAGCATCACCAATGAGGAAGCATCACCGCATAGCAGCGGTTGATCCACAGCAGCACCCTACCGCTTCATAGAACTTAAGTGTTGAGCATTCTTCATAGGTGGCTATATACAGTGTAATAAGTATAATTTTACCCTCCTTAGCATGACACACAACATGGCCAGGTGGCCATGTTGCATGTCATATTAAGTATGCTGTTTACACACTCTCCTCAGTGTCCACTAGTGTCTAGATGGGGGTAGTGTCCCCTAGCATCTAGATGGGGCCAGTCTCTCCTAGCGTCTAGATAGGACGATCCCTTGTTAACTACTTTAAGTGCTTTAGTGCTTTATATTGTGTCAATTTTATCACTGGTACAATCAGTTATATTCAAGTTTCAAGCATTTTATTCAGTATACTGTTAAATAATTTTTATCTTTGCTTACTATTTCCCCTACCAAACTAAAGATATAAAATCAAATCATGCAATGTTCAATTATAAGTTTATGGCATAAATAATGGGTTAACACTGTGCTCTGATAGTGTAAGAAATATTGGATAGGTGTAACTTGAAACCAAAAACATAAGCTCTTGTTTAATTTTGTTGCAGCTTTTGTCCATATGTTCACGTGGTTTGGTCCGCAACATTGGGATAATTCTGCAAGAAATATATAAGAGAGGCAGCATCACTAAGCTATCTTCAGCTATGACTATCATCTGGAACCTGACTGAAATGCAGACAAGAAAGGGAACGAAGTCATTACTCACCAAGGAAGACATCTTGGCTCGGGAAGTTATAATGAAGGAATGCTTGGAAGCTGTAGCTAAAGATATATCTTCCTTGAATAATCAGCAGGTTTGTATAATATGGATACAATTTAATGTACTTTGACTGTGTTCATGCATGCGTGTGTGTGAATGCACATTTGTACGTGTGCACATACACGTGTTGCCTGTGCCTGCATAGTTCATTTAAATTTATGTAAATAGATTGTGATTGCGACTATATAGTACTTGGAAGGGGTCAGGATAAGAGATGGGACGGGGGGGGGGGGGAAGGAATGTTGCCCAGCCACTTGGACTGTCAGGAATTGTAAATAGAAAATGTTAAAACTTAAATACTGTATTATAAAAAATTTATGGCAATATTACTTCAATTTTGTTCTTTTCAGATGGAAACAACACTTACAAAAGTATATGATGCTTATGAAAAGCGGGACGTTTGTTGTTATAATGAACATTTTCTGCATGCTGTTTCAAAGTATGCTGTTCAGAAACAACTTGATTTTGTAAAAGTTGCACATCTTATTAGAAAATTGATGAGAATGGTAAGTTTTTCATATTTTTTGTTATATAATATATATATTGTACTGGTATGTTGTATTATATAAACCCTAGTGAAAATCAAAATCAAAACCTTTGTGTATAAATAGTGGTACAAATGTAATTAGATTTACACAGAATTACAGTATTGCACATTATTTACATGAAATAAATTTATAACAGCATAACGTAATCATCGTAATTATGTACTGTATAATGTAGACACAGAACTATATATATATTTAGAAGCTTTGTCAATGATTTAGAAAAATTCTTTGTGTGGATGCAATGAACAGCCACAACCGTTTCTAGTTTACAATCAGGGCGGCGAGACTAATATGTAGCAAAATGTGTACAGCAGTATAAAAATTAGGATAAGATAATTTGAAGGTTACCGGGTACATACAGACGAATCATATCATAGAACAATAGAAATTTACACAGCCTCAGATTTAGGGGCTAGCCTGGATCAAAATCACTCTGAACACATAACTCGTGTAACAAATCTACTTTCACTAGTGAGCCCCAAATTGGCATAGCGCTAAATTAATTGATGTAATTTATGAACAGAGTAAATATTGACTTGAAATTAATGTACAGTGGCAACTGCCAGATATGGATTTTAATATAACATATTTGTCTAAATGATGGACCAAATTTGACCACTGGATATCCCTTTCGTAATTTGGAATTTTTCAGAAAATATCCAGATTCAAGTGGGCAAAGTTATTTCCTGCAGATGATTTGTTTTAAATCTTTTATATTCTTGCTTTTTGCGGTCCAGTGGATGTCCGAGTTCAGATGAGTGGAAGTGCCAGAAATATTATACTAAAAATGCTATGAAGCCATATCTCTTTGATTATTAATTAAAACGAGTTCCCAAGATACAGTATTTCATAGAAAATCGTGACTTTAACCATCCCTTTTGTATCAACAATGATTATTGAGTACCGCTTCCCTTAGGATTGTCAGAGCTTAGAGTATAACACAACCATCTTCATGTTTTTGTACTTGCCTTGCATATTGCTCTTGTCTTCATTTGTAAAAAACTCAATAGCCCTTATTTGCTTGTTATTTCCATATATATCTAGTAACATTTTTGTGTTGAAACTGTTAATGATACTGTAGTGTATAATAGGGCATAGAACAGAAAAGCTAAAAAATGGCATAATTGTCAACAATTATGTGAAAAGAACCTGTAATGAAATGATTATGAACTTTAATATACTTGATGAGGCTGCACATAAACCATAATGCATATACAATTTGTTTTGCATTTATAGTATGCTAAAGAACATGAATTTTCAAATTTCTAACTCTGCAGTTAGGAAGCTTAAAATTATTATACATAGTTCCGTGTGGGAGTGTTTTTAGAAGGAAATGCAAATGAGGCCAAAATATGAGTGTTAACATGTTTGGTTTTTGGTGGGGCACGGTTGCAATGTGCTTGACTAAAAGCTCAGTAAATGATTGTACATTCAAAATTTGTTCAAAAGGTCCTAGAACCTTTCATTACTAATTTGATTAATAAATGAACTACTGATATAAAACAACTGAAGGAATAACCCAAAATAAAAGAATATGAGCTTTAATATGCATACAAAACTTAAAGTATGGCAGTATTGATAGTACTGTACTGTATAGTGATGTCTGCCTACCTTGTGAAGGTTCCGGGGATCAACGGCCCCTCGGTCTGGTCAGAACTAGCTACAGTATTGTACGTTTTATTTCTTTCAGAATTACCATTCAGAGGAGCTCGCAAATTATATGGTGGAATTAGTGTTGTCACATCCTCAAGATGTGCCTGAAGCCAGAGTGTCGGTGATGCCGTTGCTCTCCATCATGTCAACCTGTGACGCTCCCCCTAGTGGTTGTAGTGATGCGCTGGACATCCTCATGGAGCATAAATCAATGAGACTAAACACAGTAAGTTTCTGTATCAAATAAACATTATATTTTTTATTGGTTTTGTTTCAATTATTGGTCTTTACAGATGATTTGTTATATCTGGAAGTGGTTTATGTATGACACTTTCATAGAGATTGCATTGTATTTTGTTTGTATCTTATTACGGAACAATTTTAGTCCATTTTGGGCCGTGCTCATCTGTAGTTCATCTGTAGTTCATCCACCAATTTTAACACTTTCTTCTACTCCACATTTTTTTCAGTGGCTACTGTTTTCTTATTCTTAGTCCTTTTGTTCTACTTTTCAAGTGGTAATATGCATGCTGAGGCAATTCAAATTCTTTCCACACATTCTTCTTTCTTAGTGTAAGCAAGCAGCATATACATAATTTGTTGAATAGCCAATCCAGTATGTTGAATTCCTTTTAATATATTTAAAGAGTATTCTACATATGAAGATGGTTAAAATGTCTTGCAGAAAATTTTACAGAAGGCTATAAATAATGTGAAGGATGAATAGTTGCATTGGGAATATATCAAGGATATATCAAGAAAGAAATAAGCTGTATAATAAATATTGGTGTCAATTAAAATGTATATGGTTATAATGACTATTACTCAAAATAATAATTTTTTTTTTTTTTAGCATTAACAATAACGTTACTGCTTTCAGGACGATTTTTTCAAGAAGCCACTGCTTTTAATAGTTCAAGATTTGTTCAATCTTGGCTACTGCCATGAAGGTCTGGTAAACATTATCACCAATCCAGACACACTTAGAATGTGAGTACAGTATAAATACTTAGTTATTGCTTTAAGAGATAATGTGTGTGCTCATCCAGGGTAGTTGCCGAAGTGCATTGATGGTAGATTATGTGGTTTCAATCAACGCTGGTGTCTTTATTTATCAAAAGGTTTCTTGATTTCAGATACTTGTCGAAATATTCGAAGGAAGATGTTAATCACAGAAGGTTGTTGGAAGTAGATATGGCACTTGATAAACTCTTCAATTCACATGAAAGAGTTCCAAAGACATTTGTAGACAATGGAAAGAGACTGGTGCTAAACCAGCTGCCATCCAGGTCCGACTTGAAATTCATCCTTCACCAGGTTTTGGACGAGCCTGAACACCTCATTTCAGGCGTTGTCACAGACTCTGGTATTTATATTGGTAAGTTCAGATTTAACATGCACTGTAAATCAATTATAACAAAAAAGTTACTACACAGTGTTAAGCCATTAATTCCACAAACAGCATAATGACAATAGCTACTTAGATTGTATATGAAACAATAGCTTGTGTTCAAAGTTTTCACAGATCAGTCAGGCTTTAAAAATATGTAGATGTGAAATGCTTTCATAAAGAATACTGTATAGTATTTAGAATTTCACCTGGATCATTGGAGAGAGGAACTCGAGCCTCGAAATACAAGACCGTTGTGCATGCTGGTCTCATGATTTGAGGCCCTAGTTACTGGTAACAAACTTTCTGCTATTAGGGGTAGCATATTCCCTTGTCCTTCCTCTTCTTGAGGTTATCTTGATGATTTCGGGGCTTTTTAGTGTCCCCACGGCCCAGTCCTCGACCAGGCCTCCACCCCCAGGAAGCAGCCCGTGACAGCTGACTAACACCCAGGTACCTATTTTACTACTAGGTAACAGGGGCATAGGGTGAAAGAAACTCTGCTCATTGTTTCTCGCCGGTGCCCGGGATCGAACCCGGGACCACAGGATCATAAGTCCAGTGTGCTGTCCGCTCGGCCGACCGGCTTACGACCATAACTGGCGGTGATGGAAAATGGTTGTGGAAAGGTTAGGTATTGGCCATATACGTTTAACTTAAGAGCACTTAATGGAGCGCCGCCGTGCTCCTTATTGTTCGAACTGCATTGTCTCTCTTACTTGTCACGCATATCCTTGTGAATGTACTGACTTCCAGGAAATGCATGTGTCTTGCTTCCCAACTGTCCCTCACTGTCATTTGTGTCTCAATAGCATCCTTGGCGAGTCAGATACGTTTGATATCGCTCACCTTTTCATAATTATGAACTTTTGTTCTAGTATTGGCATCCTTTGTGATATTTAGGGCCTTATGAATATCCTGCAACTTTGATGGTGCTACACAGTCTTCCTGGCTTTGGCACCTTCTTTTGATAATTACTTGCTTGTATAAGTAATATTTGTGTAATATTTCAACTTTCGTCATTATTGTAGATGTGTGATTCTTTGGTTTTGTCATGGAAGCATTACAATAGTCATCATTTGGAACTGATCTTTTATATAAATATTAAGGCTGGAATAGTGTCAGGAGTTTTGAAACAAAGGATTTATATGCAGTACAATGGGAGACGTTCTTCACAGTGAACAATGCCAGAGGCTCAAGCAGCAACTTTCTGAATTGTAAGTGGTCACTTTTTGATAATTGTACAAGTTTTAGATGGTGCTAGACCATAGGTGCCCAGGTTCTTGAGCAGCTTTTAGCGTTGCCAGGTATTTTTTTTATTATTTCAGATAAACACTTCACATATATTTACCTCGCAATGTAAATTATGTTTAACCCTTAGGCTGCAATTATCGTCTATTGACAATCCCTAGGGTCCTGCAGTTATCATCATATGATGGTTGAAACAAATATTATCTGGGTTTTACGTGTATGATGCAAATTTGAATATAATAGCTCTGTGGATGTAAATAAAGAAAAGCGATGGATAAAACAATCGGTGAAACATCCAAGGATAAAACTGGAAGCGTCAGCAAAGTCGAGCACCAGGCATTGACAAGTGCAGAGCGCCTCCACCCAGAGAAACGATAAATATTCGCTCATTTTGATGTTTTACCTACATTTTGCCTACAAATTAATGTATATATATATTTCTTATGCATAATCAGGTATGACCATTTCTCCATAGCTGCTGTCCAAGGGTTAAGCTCATGATTTTGTTTATCTTTTCATAAATAGCATTTAGTGTCACAATGTTTATAATTACGCTCATCAATAAAGATTAGGGATCAAAGTTTTCAACACAAGAATCCAGAACACAATCCTGTTTTTTTTTTTTTTTAATGAGTATAAACCTCTCTTTCTCAGATCATCTTTTAGTTTTGGATGAAGAAAGACATCCTGTGCTGTTGAATCTACCAGAAGTAAAATTTGAGAGAAATATAAGTACAAGCTTTTTAGAAATCCCAGAAGGCTTCACTAGGTATGTATTTGTATCATTAAAGTTTTTTTTTTTTTTTTTATAATGGCAGATATAGGTCTTAGAAAGTAAGTACCCATTGCTCAAGCATTTACATATACTGTATTCCAATTTATGCTAGATTAGGTTACCTTTCACAATCAACCTCAGAAATCAAAACACATTCAGTTTACAGTACAGTCTTTGTTTTAAACCCAAACGTCAAGAACATTTATTGGCATTAATAATATATATATATTTGTTTTACTTCCAGGATTGCTGTTTTAGATATTGGCTCCTCTCATGTATATAAACCTAGTGATCGTCTGAGTGGACCTGCCCGCCTTAAGGAGAAGTTGCTGGAAAGTGAAGGCTACACAGTTCTCAACTTGCTGCAGCCAGTAATATTTCGACATCATGCGGAAGAAAGATTTTTGTATGTCAAAAGGGAACTTATGAATGCAGGTATTGCGTTTAGATAATTTGAAGTGGGAGGGACATGAGTAAGGTTTTAAAATGTTCAATTGATTTTTTTTTTTTTAATATCGCCTGTTTTTTGATGAAGAGCATCCACTGTACTAAATTTTATTCGATTCTTCATTTTTCCAAACAGATGTTATTATTTAGGATTAATGTACAGTACTAGTTTTATGACTTGTGATCCTAATGTAGTTGATGGCTGAGGGGGCAGCATGAATTTACCTTGATGTCGAGTGTGAAAGGTCTTATTAAAGGCAAGATGTACTATCATTGAATACAATATCTTGATTGTTCTCTTAATAATATTTTTCCATCCTTTCTGGGTGAATGGCTTTTTTGTTCCAAGAAAGTAGGAAACAGTGATGGTACGGTTTAGAATTTAATTTGCCTTTCAACATTATAAATTGTAGGATGACATATTTGTGTTAAAAATGTTGTAGTCACTTATGAGAGTAAAAACATTGTTTTAAGTCAAAATAGGGGATTGTGCTTTATAATATGTTTCATAACATTAATCTTCCACATTAAAGTATGATGAAAATGTATGATTTCAAGATTATAAGATCAAAATTCCTTTTAATCAAAGTTATTAATTTATACAATTTAATGAAAATTATATTAGCACCACTTTTTGCTAGATTTATCATTAAGAAATACTCTCCCAAACCTAAATATTGCTGTTTATCTGGATTGTGGAATATATTGATAAGATCTCATTATGCTTCATTTCTCACCCAAAATGAATTGAATATTTGAATGCATAAACATTTGTCTTAATGTTACACTGTTTTCAAGTGAGATGTACAAAATGACTTTACTGTATTGTACTTTGTACAAAATTACTGTATTTTATTTTTTCATTTATTCTTCACAAAAGGAGAGTACAAGAGGCATGCAGATGTACAGATGCATTTATAAATACGCATTTTGAGCTGCATATCATGCATAATAATAATAAAATAACAAGTAGCAGTTGCCAAAAGTGATATATAATCCACTTGTATGTCTTTCCTTCATTGTCGCTTTTGTAATCAGTTTGGTAATATTTTATATTGTACAATGGAGTCCTACTTGAATGGGATCATTAACTCTGGACCTCTTCTGCTGCATAAGAACGTCCAGTGCATCTCAATTTTGCTTTTATTAGTACAAACAATAGAACACAATTTTGTAAATGTCATATTTTTATACCAAAATTAATTGCAAAAGAGTAAATTTTTATGAAATTAATATTTTACTGAATTATTTTAAGTGTAGTGTGGTGAGCTTGCTTATTCATGGTGCAAATGTTATGATAATGAACAAATTCTATTTTGTCCTTTTTAATACAGTACTACTGTATCTGTAATTTTTCACAATTGTTAACTTTGGATTGATGCTTACCCATAAAAGTGAGAAATAGGGCAATGATGTAACACAATATATATGTTTTTGGCATGACATTCTGGTCCAGGTAATATTGCACGTTGAAGATAATTTTTTTTTTCTCTTCTCGCTGTTCTCACTGTACTAATGAGGGAAATGAGAAATATCCCAGACTCCTGTTACCATTTCCCCAGACAAATCTGCATTCTTGCAATTCAATGTGCTGCTCACTCAAGATGGGAATTTTCACGGATTTGTTGTAAGGACATAAAAATACTGAAAACCTTGCATCTTGTTGTACATCTGGCACATTTAATTAGATATGAAGTATTCTAAACCTAGTTAATTTTAAAATTAATTTTGTACGAAAAAGTGGATCTTTGGTTCGAGTTGATACAAAGATTATCATTCTTCCTTATATTGTCAATATTCCTTCAAGTTCTTTAAAAAAAAATAGTTAAATGTGTACTTTTTGATCGAACAGAATTTACACTGTATCAACAGATAATGGCAATTTTACGCCTTGGTTGAAAATTAATAGGCTAATATTCTAGGTCACTCATTAGTAAATGGTATCACATTCTTGTATCTATGTACAATATAAACTTGTATATACTGTAGTTGTGCAGTATTGTCTTATGTATGATGTATATAATCTTAACTACTGTATTTAAACTTGTTAAATAAAACTGTACTGTATTATATATATTTGTCATATTTCATTACAGTCCTCATAATGAAGTCTGTATTGAGAGGTTGTATACATTGTGTACCTTAGTTTCTCATTACACAGTTAAATATTTTGTTAGCACACTGTAAGCACACTTCTAATGCATAAAATATATTTTATTAAATGCAGTGAATGGTGTCCATGATGCATACACAAAGAGGTTATAAATAATAACTCATTTCAAATTGAATTAAGAAATGTTGAACAGATAAACGTGTGGAACTGGAGCATTTTACACTCAGCAATGTTGACAGTCTAAAACGAATATATATACTGTAGCTTAGAATATAAATATGAAAAATTAGTTGCATAATTTATTACCTGCAGCCATTTACTTACTAAACAAGACAAATATATGCATGGTAAAAAATTTTAAACCAATTCTTTACATTCTTGTAACCACAAAGTTAATGTTTGTCAACTGCATATTGTTGAGAAGCATGCAAGATTCACTAGATATACTGTAGTTACTTATTTATTTTTTTCCAATTCCAAATGTTTGATAAGAGGTTCCTTCATATACAGTAATCTAGTCTATTAAGATTTATTATATATAAAAAAGCTATCATTTATTTATTCCTAAATACTGTACTTCATTAAATTTAACGTAAAAATTCATTGTGAACATTTTCAAGCTTGCATTGCCTAAGCCGTACGTAGTAATCAGCCTAATATATAATTTTTGGGAGATTTTTTTATTTATATATAAATATTTATATATATAATAGTTCTTACATTCTTGTACAGCCACTAGCACGCATAGCGTTTCGGGCAAATTCTTAATCCTATGTTTACCGGAATACACCGCTGCCAAATTGGGCAGGTACAAAAACCAGGTAACCATTTTTACTGTTTGGTTAAACAGGCTACAGTTAAGGATTCACGATCAATAAATCCTCCTCGGCTAGGATACGAACCCAGGACAAAACGCTTGCGAAACACCAGGCGAGCGTCTTACCACTACGCCATGGGGACTGTAATAGCGTCATGTATTATAGCCTATGTATTGGTTAATTATCACTGATGTGTTATGTTTTATTTGTAGACTTACAAGTTGGGATATTATCCATGTCATATTTAAATCATTTACACAAAAGTATGACAGTTGTTAGATTTCATGCACTGTACAATACACAATTGTAAATAAGCAATGACGGCACCAATTTCTAACTCGTGAGATCAGCCCCCTATATATATAAAAAAAAAAAATTCCACTAGATATATTTGCACAATGATGCTTGTTGGCCTCTTAACATAAAACTAATGATAAACTAAACCATTGACAATTTTAAATGTAGGCAACCTTAAATTAAACTTAACAGTATTCATTTAAACTGTTGAAAATAATTTTCGGCTAAATATTTTTATTATACAAGTCTCACTTGTATGAGTAACTCATGTTACCTTCCACCCAGAAAGAATTGTACAACTGTGTGAAAAAAAGCAAGATTACAATGAAATACATGGAGTTCCCATTTTATGACCATTCTTCCAGGTCCTCATGTACCTCCTTCATGCATAAAATCATTGTATTAGCTCACTGGAAGGGGTCAGGATAAGGATTTTGGATGGGACGGAAGGAAGGAATGGTGCCCAACCACTTGGATGGTCGGGGATTGAATGGCGACCTGCATGAAGCGAGACCTTCGCTCTACCATCCAGTCCAAGTGGTGGAGCGTTCCTTTGAATTTCACGGCAGTGAAAGCATCTGTGCGGCAGCCACATAATGGAGCACAAAATCCGTCTGCATGGCCCACTGGGAGGCAGTGCAAGTGAGTTTTACTAATTATGCCTGTGGGGGAGTCCCTGGGCTGGTGATAGGAGGAGGGTGGTGGGAAGGCGTTTACTCACGAGGCCAAGAACAAAATGGCAGGCAACCAATGCAGTGCACATGTATTGCCATTTATATTTTCATGTAATTATACCATTTCACTCTTCAAAAACAAGTAACTTTGACAAGCAGGATAACTCTAATGTGTTTTTTTATATTATACTGTACGTCCAAAAAATACTGGTTTTGCGAGAAATTTTGGTGCCCTGGGAACGCATCTCCCATTTATAGCATTGCACCTATGAAAAATCTCGATCCGCGTTCCGAACATCTGCTTTACACAGATTCAGAACGTAACGTGTTCGTAACTGGGGAACTGTCTCTATTATATTGATCATTAATTAAACCACTTTAAGATTACAATTGTTTATTTACCAACAATTCTTATGATATCACTGGTGTCACTTAACACTCTAGCGGTTCAGCCCCTCTGACCATAAATGTTCCGAGCTCCCCAGGGCACCACTCTGATGCTCAAAATGTATACGGTCATCTTTCATTTTCTAAGTTATTTGTTAGATTATAACTACACATTGAGTCAAAATGTTCACAAATAATTTCTCCAGTGAATAGATGCAAAAACAAGTGTATTTATAATAGGTTATACATGACAGTGATGAATATACAAATGTTCATGAGCATTTTATCATTCCTCTACTTTATATTTAGGATGGATAATAAATAACAGAATTATGTGCAGTTGAACATACTTTATGACTTCTTTCAAGCAATCTGCAAATTAAAAAATATATACAATTATTCTGCCAGTAAAGTAAAAAAAAGTTTACAATCATCTTATATTCCAACAAATAACTTGGAAAACTTAACTACAAATTTAGTGTCAAAATGTTTGCAAATACAAAAGCTCATGTCTCAAGTGAGGCCTCATAGGTGAGCAGGAAGCTCTCTGGTTGGTTCTCTCATGCCCTAGATGCATAAATGTCCACAAAATAATGGCAATTTTCACAAGTTTTTGGAATAGTTGATGCAAACAGGATAGCTCAGGAAATGGAAACCGTAAATTTAGCAATTGGCTAATGCTATTTAGCGTCATCTGAATATTTACCGTCTGAATAAGGATGACATTTTATCATCGGAATGCAAGAATATTAATAAAGAAGCACCCAAGTGTAAAGCTGATATTAACTACATGCATTTGTTCCACAACTGTCATCCATTACCACATATGAAAATGTTGAACCATTATAAGCCAAGCACAAAACAAGACTATAAATGCAACTTAAAGAGTTATTTACCAAACCTATCACACATCTACAATTCCCTTGTAATAAATATGCCAGACTTGTAACCTAAGGCACAAAGCTACACCACATTATTTAAATATCAATAAGCTTTGTGGTTCCCTCTCTGGCCTGTGGGGGCATATCCTTGACTCTTATGAAATGGTGGTAACAAGATTTAGTGTAATCAGTCATAAGATCTTGTGTGGCTTCAGGCAAATCTCCAGTGTGCTTTGCAGGTGACCCAGAGTATATAGCAAAGGGAGGAACGACTGTTTCTGGAGGAAGGACAGTGTTGTCAGCAATCATGCAGCAGTCTTTTAGCACGCATCTACGTCCCTGAAAATAAAATATAAATTGGTTTAATACATGCAAAAGTAAATGCTATAAAATAAGTATTAAATTAGAAAAATAAAGAAAGCAATTCATGAAGTAATGATTATAATGATTATTCAAGGCTGAAAACAGAAGTAATGATTGGTTCAATTTGCAAGCAGTCCTCTATGTGAGTATGAAGATAAATCATACTTATTATTACCCCATGTCACACTCCCAGAAAGGACAGAATAGACATTTCAAAAGGAAAGCCCTTCATAAAATATCCACAACAAATTAATACCATATGGTAGCAGGACATTCACAGAAAATTGCTTTCACTCAGTCCATTTCTTTACCACATTTTCTCACCATAACTGTTCACCATTACTCACTCTTACTCATCTTCCTACCCTCATATTCACTTGAATATACTTTCTTGACCACTTTACACTAATCCACATGAACAACAAAACTACACTATTGTACACACAGCACACTTTTCTAAATCTTATCACAGATTTGCACTCCAAATATCTATGAAGATAAAAGAAAAGTGGAGGCAAGTTTAAATCACAGGGTGTAACAGCTCTGAGTCACTACTGTGAGCTATGTACTAGAAGCTAATTACAAGGTCTTTGAACACTTACAATTACACAGTTTTTTCCAATGTAAACATAGGAACCCACAACGGCAGCATTGACGATTGATCCTTCACCAATAAACACATGATCACCAATATGAAGTGGAAAGAATGCCACACTGAAAAATAAATCAGTAAATTATTTAAGGATAATATAACAATGAAATATACTGTACTTTATAGCAATTTTGTATTATAATTTATATTCCTCAAATTATTTTTTGCTAAAAAATATGAAACTGACAATTAAGTTATACTTGCCCCTTGCTGAACTTTTTAAATGGTGGTCTAATGACGGCTTTGGACGATATAACACAGTGACGGCCAACTCTGACATTTGCTAAATCCCCTCTAATGATGACACCGCTAAGCACAATTACTTTTCCACTTAAGACAATGTTTTGTGAACCGCATAACACACTCCCACGACTGACACGGTTTCCTGTAGCCTGTAAAATTTCTGATATTACTAAACATGTAAGAAAGAATTTGTAAATATAACTTGGTACCCTTTAAAGGTTTTTTAAATGCGCTAAAGATGAGGTAAAATAAATTTTAAATTTTCATCACCAATCTCATAGTAATAAAAATTTAACATTTGTTTTAACTCATCTTTAGCATGCATGAAAAATTGTTATTTCTCTCCCACTCTGCAAACACTAGGTTTTCTTTAAAACAGCAGTGGTAGAAGCATTTGGTCAATGGTGGCTTAGTCAACTATAATAAATAAATTGGCTTAGACCTACTCTACTGATAAATAATTTATACCTGTATACAAATTAAGTAAACCAAACTGATGTCAAAAATATAATTTTAATATCGTAGTCTCTGCTGTAAATACCAGTTTGCATCTACACATTTTTAATAGCTGGCTTATCGTATAAAAGAGAAACATACTTACAGTTTCTATGTACTGAGCTTTTGGGTAAAATGAATCCTCCAACTCCATCTCGCTCTCCACAAGCCTTGTGTTGCCTCAGTGGTGAAGAGTCTTAGAGGTGTAGCGCACCACTGTGAGTCTCAGCAGTGTGGGGTCTACCCAGTGTGTATCACCACACTGTCAGTACTCTTTTTTTTTTTTTTTATTACACGGTTAGTTTGTGTGAGGGTTTGCTGGAGCGTATGGTTGGGAGGGTGTCTCACCAGTGTGTGTCCCCGTCACCGCCCAGCTGGTGTAAACAATGACTCCCAGGCGTTCGTGTAGAGGAGGCTGGAGGACGGATGGTGGGGGATCCAGGGGTTCCTTTACCAATAGTCTCCGGCTGCTCAATAACTCGCTTCATTAATCATGTTAGGTCTGTCCACGGAACAGAAAATGTATATATAAATTTACCTGAATTTACCTGAGGGCCACCAATACTTGTGACCTCGACGAGGACAGGAAGCTGGCGATTTGTCAAAGGTCCACCTCCCCGTCACCCCCCATTTGCCTTGATGATCTTTTCCAGTTGTATTTTAAAACCCAACATAATTTTGGCTGATTTTGGCAGATATAAATGCTGATTAACATTATAAGTGAATGTCCACGTCTGTGGTAGAAAATAAACTAAAAAAAAAAGGGAATCCCCCCTCTTCTCGGACGTGACAGAAATGGTTGGGCACGTTTTCTATCACCTAATGCCTCTGTTCACCTAGCAGAGAGTATTACAGGTGGATCAGAGACGGGTTTAATGAAAGTTGTAGAAATGCCCGAAATTCTGCCCGAAACGCTGCGCATACTAGTGGCTTTACAAGATTGTAATTACTATACTATGTATCCTCACAATCCCAATGTACCTTCTTGTATATATATAGACAAATAAATAAATAAATAAATAAACAAATAAATGTGAGATCAACAGCACAAATTGGTGACCGATTGTTATACAATTACTTCAGCTATACGTCATAAGCCTATATGTTCAATCAATTATATGAAATAGTTTATAATGCTAGTAAATTTATTTCAGCGTCAAAACAAGAGAAAAATTATTTAAACTAAATGGGATGATGTTGTGAGCGTGAAGAAGAAGAACAACAGCTGTGCTCGGCGGTGATTTCCGGAAATGTTTAGTAGGAAAGCTTTCAGCGAGGAATGCTGCACAACGGTACACGGGAGTGGCGCAAGACTTGTTGTTTGGCCATTGTAATACAGTTAATAGGGAGAGGTGTTGGGGAGGGACGGAGGCTATTAAATGTGATATATTGAGGGGAGAGCGGCTCAAGGTCCGGCTGGAGTGAGAGAGGCTGGAGGGAGAGTGTGAGTCACGGACCAGGAATGCCTCTCCAAGATGCTATAGCTGCCGGATGATCAACAGGTGAGTCATATAACGCTGTTGCGTAGCTCTTGCTTCATTATGCCCACAGAGGGCCAGGTGGGGTGGAGGAAGAGGTTGGGATAGTGGGTATCTAAGGACAACTCTCTCGTAACGAAGGCACATACAGTATATACGGGCTCCTGCCCCCAGGCTTCCACGATGGTCTTCTGTTATGAGCCTGGGTTTACCTGTGGAGCCCAAGGTCCTCCCTCAGTCCATAGGTCACTGTGGTGGTTATGTTATGAGGGGCGTTGTTCTATACATCTCTGGAGAGCCTTGGTGGTGGTGGTGGCAGGGATCAATGGTCCTGCACCCCAGTCTAACTACACCTGTCTCAGAATATGTCCTGTACTAAAGTAATCCAATTTTTTGTTTTAATAATGAAATCTTGTTTAATTTTAAATATTGTGAATGCTGTATACAGGCACATGGAACAATACACCATTCGGACACAGGCTAATGTAACCAAAATTGTATGAGCGAAATGGATGATGTGCACTTCATTTTTAAGTGAACCTGGCTCGCTGATAAGACGCTCGTCCTGCACTTCTTGAGCGATCTGACCTGGTTTCGTATCCTGTCCGGGGAGGATTAATCGCGTGCCAATCGTTAACAGTAGCCTCTGTTCGCTCGGTAGTGAATGGGCACCTGGTTGTTAAACGATTTGGTGGGTTGCATTTCAGGGAAAATGAAGGTTAAGGACCTGCCTGAAATGCTATACATGCTAGTGGCTGTACAAGAATGTAAGAACTCTTGTACAGTATAATAAAAAAAAACTTTTCATTCAGTCTATTAAGTAATGGGTCTGTTCTATAATTAGGTAACTGTGCTAACTAAATAAGCTCAGCATGATTTCTGTTCCCAACAGTGGTATACTATACCAAAGAGTGCAGCTCCCCTAAAGACCTGTATTTAACATAACTACATACGTATATAGAATAAATCTACAGTTACTCCTGAAAAAGTGCTCCACGTTCTGTGATAGTCTGCTCTCCAAGATCCACTGCACAGAGTACCATCCATGCTGCAGTGGGGCACCCACAGGCCTTGTCACATTACAGTAATTTGTCACATTTATAGATAGTATCTGCCCTATATTGCTACGCATCTTATTGGCTTTGCATCAAGGTAAGAGCACAAATGTTATGTACTCTCACAACCCAATTTACCTTCTTGTATATAAATAATTGTTTAATTTTTTATTTAATATATACTGTACTGTACAAGAGTTCTTACATTCTTGTACAGCCACTAGCATGCATAGCATTTCGGGCAGGTTCTTAATCCTATTTTTCCTGGAATACGACCCCACCAAATCGTTTAAGAACCAGGTACCCATTTTACTGTTGGGTTAAACAGAGGCTACAGTTAAGGATTTGTGCCCAGTAAATCCTTCCCGGCTAGGATACAAACCCAGGACAAAGTGCATGCGAAATGCCAGACCTTACCACTACACCATGGGGACTATATTAACCCTCTAATTTAATCTAAGTAAAAATAAAAACTAACATAGGTGATTCTAGTCAACTTGTAGCATTTATCTACAGTAAATTTACATAGTGTTACTCATAAACCAATATGTATATAAATTCAGTTTTGTGTATTATATTTACAGTAATAACTTTGGAACATATTTTGTAGAACCACACTGAAACATTTGTGTCTATGAAAAAAGGATTTCACTTGTTACATTCAAGTAAATAATGTTTATATTTCAGATTGATATTTAATGAGTGTTGGATCAAGACAAGCTCATCACTTGTGCCCCAGCTTAGCCAAACTATGCACCATGGAGTGTGGAGAGACAGATTCCATGACCATTATTTCCAGAGTAAGTCATCATAGACTGCCATAGTGAGTCCTCCGGAGACTTGATATTTTTCAAGTAGGAATTTTCCTGCAAGATTTGTCAATTTGAGTCTAGAGCCTAGTTTGTAAAATGTAAAATTGAATCTGTAGCCTAGTGTATGAAATGTAAATTTGAGTCTGTAGCCTAGTGAATAAAATGTAAATTTGAATCTGTAGCTTAGTGTATAAAATGTAAATTTGAGTCTGTAGCTTAGTGTATAAAATGTAAATTTGAGTCTGTAGCCGAGTGTATAAAATGTAAATTTGAGTCTGTAGCCGAGTGTATAAAATGTAAAATTGAATCTGTAGCCTTGTGTAAAACATAATTGTAAATTGGTAGTGTAGTTGGGTTCATTCTTGACTCGTAATCAGGAATCCTGAATTCGAATCCCAGGTATGCCAGAAAGTATTGGGCACATGTTTCCTTTCACCTAATGCCTCTGTTCACCTAGCAGTAAATAGGTATCCAGGAGTTTGTCAACTGTTGTGGGAATTGCATCCTGGGGAAAGTCGGTAGTTTGACTCTGGGCGGGACTTCAATATAAGCCTAATATACATCTATACATAGGCTACCTATCACCAACAAAACTTAGCAATAAATTTGAATATGCATCTTAATATGTAAAATGTAAATTAAACTGTTGCCTAGTATGTAAAGTGTAAATTTGAAACTGTAGCAAGTATGTAAAGTGTGTAGGAAATTTGTCTTCAGTCCATTTAAATATACAGTACAATATATGATCTACTGTGTATGTGAATGTATGCATGGGAGGTAAAGAGGTTTAGAACATATGCAAGAAAATGCATTTGGAAAGTATTAACATGTTGAGCGTATGATGAATATGAAAATTTATGAAGTATATTTAAAAAATAGGGAATTGAAGGTCCTGGTTTCAGTTCCCATGCAGGGTGGGACATTTGGCCTGGCACCCTTACACGTGATGTGTCTGTTCAGCTAGCAGTAATTAGGTACCTGGGTGTTCGGCAAGTTATGTGGATTGTGTTATGGTCACCCATCCTCCTGTTTAGATAATACTTTTTGCAACTATGTGCACCATAGTACAAATATTGACATACTAAGTAATTAGATAGTAGAATTTGGTAATATTCACTTTATAGAGTCTGAAAAAATTGAAATTGAAAAACAAACTTAAATAATCCTAGGCACATACATACTGTACTATATTAGACCGCAGATAGCATGTATTAGGTCTAAGAAGGTTAGGTTAGGTTAGTTTAGTTTGTCTTTGCAACATAAATAGAAAATCTTTTTCGGTCTGTCCAAATTCAATATGTCCGATTTCTATTTTCTAATTGGATTGAATGTTGGTACAATATATGTGCTGTGGGTCCTCATCGTCGCTATACGTACTACCAAAACAGGAGGATGGCCTGGTTATGGGTAATGTCAGCTGTTTGCCTAGAGTGTCCATGATAAGCCTATAGGCTAACTGGCAATAGGAGGCCAGAAACTATTTGTCAAAAGATTTTGTATCAAAAGCACCACTGGTTAGATAATTTTATGTACTGTATTTTCTTTTAACACTTTGTGCATGGTGCATATTCTTAATCCCTAATAGGTATTTACAAGGGTAGGTAATTAGCAGTTTTGAATTACTGTATAATGTTTTCATGAAAATTGTTTACTAAGTAACAAATGAATATTTTTGTAATCGGTTTACCTTTTGTATTGCAAAACTCATAATTAATTTCACTGATGCACTTCCTCTTTATTGTTATTGCAGCAGGAGGGTTACGACTATGAGTTCGTGCCTGTCCTTGACTCCAAGTATGAGTGTGCTATTTGTCTGTTGGGGCTGAGGTCCCCAGTACAGACTGCTTGTGGACATCGCTTTTGCAAAGAATGCATCTTTAACAGCATGAGGTGGGAGCATTTAATACTCTTTAAATACAATAATTTGCACAGTATTATATATGCAGTATTGCTTTGTATTATTCTGTATTAACTAATTTCATGCAACAGCTTTCAAGCTTCATCACAATCACAATAACTGTTTTCAATCTGCAGAGAGGTCTCATTCAGCAGTTGGCTGCTGCTGGAAGTGTCATTATCCCCATTAGTGACACCTTGTGTTTTTTTTCTGACAACTTGTATTCTGGTGTTCTTTGAGATTTAACCTAGGATCACCTTTAATCAGGCAGGATCTTATGAAAATGCTAGAAAGTCACAGGAGCGTCAAAACGGCCACGAAATATCTGAAATTCTAGGACACTAAATCTGGACTCAAGCTCCATACAGTCTTAGTGTTCATGCTTGCCTATGTCGGGTAATATCCTCAAATTACCAATCCCAGGCAACACTCGCTTTACCCTTCCTAATTCTGCAAACTGACCATTGACCATTGCATACATTCTGATTACATTTTGCAGGGGCCAATTTCCAGATAATTTTGTTCCCATGTCAGGGGCTTTGTTCAATAAATTTTGTGTTCCTCCAGTAACTTTCTCTGGCTGAAAATTGCTCCAATCTGGATTCTGGTTGGTCCTGTGGAGCAATTTCCTAGGAGTTCTCTCCTGCCTGAGTTGGGTCCTGAACAACAGTTCTTTGAGTTTTTGGTACAAGCTTGGGCACTAGCAAAAGTTTTGGTGAGCTCAGTTCTCACCTAGAGAAATATCTAGTTTTTATCCATTGGGACATGCTTAAGTTAGGGTCTGTTCTTGGGCAGCTTACGGTATTTTATTCAAAGTATTGCTGCCTCCCTGCTGAGTCGGGGACATTAGTGTTAATTACCTGTTAATAGTTTTCTATTGGTTATCAGAGAGGTGTCTCAGGTGACACACACAACCACTGTTAGGTCTCTGGCTTGACTTTGTCGGACAAAAAGACAGGATTAAATTAGGTCCAATTCTTGAAGCTGTCAGTTAAGAGCCAGGAAGGATTTAAAGTTGATTTGTTTGAGAAGTTAGATCAGTCTTAGAAATTCAAGTCTGTCAGCTAGGTCCGACTTCTTCAGGCTTCTAACTTTATTAGATTCTGGTTTACATCCTGGCTGTAAATAGGAATGGCAAACCATTTGTCAGTCCAATAATGAGGAGTTAAAGGTGGTTTCACAGTATTAAATATATGCTTGTTATGAGTGTGTATAGTGCATTTTACATGAAGCGCTCAGCTTCCCCTCACTATTCTTAGTGAGATATAGAGTGCACTTTTCTGAGGAAATTGTTAGATATAAATAATTTAAAATGTGTGAATGCTACTGTATTTTCTTTCATTTGTTTCAATTTTTTTTTTTTTTTGTTTCAGCGAAAGCAGCAACCGTTGCCCAATTGACAATACCCCACTAACTGAAGCAGACTTATTTCCTGACTCTTGTGCCGAGAGGGAGATCCTGCAGCTGAAGGTCAAATGTCCGAATCATGCCCTTGGCTGCACACGCACTATAGACCTTATGTACATTGAGCATCACACTCAGGCATGCTCCTTCCAAGTTAGTATTTCATTATTTTACATATTTTTGCAATACCTGTAGATAATCTGTTTGCTGTTTGCCTAACCCTGTAGTCCCCTAATAAATGTACAGTATTTACTTTTGCGGTACTAATTCTGTTTACTAAATATTGTATCTTTTGGTTAGCCTTGTGAACTGAATGGAATATTAAGCTATTATTGTACATTTCTGTCCCCATGTGTTATTCTTCTGACTTATTTGTAAGTTTTAGCAATGATTGGTGCAATTTTGAATGTAATGATGGAGGCGGTTGTTGATAGGTTTGAGAAACCCGTTATCACTGTTGCCCTAAGTTTATGTTATAGCACAAATAATGATTAAAAAATTGAATTCATTTAATACTGAGAGGGAGGAATTTAATAAACATTTATTTTGTTTCATGTGTGACTGAGAAGTATTGGTATTTTATTGTTTACACTGTGTATGTAAATATTTTTATTTGAGGCAAAGAATAACATAACAAGTCAATAACATTGGAGGCAGAAACTTTTAACAGTATCATAGTGCACAACCACAGTACTGTACTGTATGTTTAGGGTCTCGGCAGTACAGGTGGGTTCGTTGGCGGCTCTCAATCAGTACTCTTGGGTTCAAGTTCTGGGCATAACACAAGTGGTTTGTGACATTTCCTTTTCACATAATGCCTCTGTTCACCTAGCAGTGAATAGGTACATGGGAGTTAGTCAACTGTTGTAAGAGTTACATCCTGGGGAGAGTCAGTATTTCGACCTTGGGGACCTCTATATAAGCCTAACGTTTATACATTCACGGGCTGCCTGTCTCTAAGAAAATGAATGATTATTTCTGCACGCTTAATATATCGCAGAATGAATTTCAATCCATTATATTGGTTATTTTGCCATAGAATTCAGTATGACAATATTATATAAATGACTTGTCTATATACTGTAATACAAATGTCGTGGTATAGTGGGTGTATAATACAACCTATAATAGTTGTATATATTCTATTCAAATTTTACAAAATTTTAGGAAGTCAAAATTCTACAAGCAGAGCATGTGTTTTAAATAGCATGCAGGCTTCATACATGGTTATGCATTTAAGTCATATTCTCCTGTACTCCCTGCTTAACCTTTTTGAAATTACTTTCTTACCTAACCAAGACTATAACTGAATGTAGCTTGAGCTAACAATACCAAGTGTGAGCTGAACTGAAAGCCTCACAAATCCAGTACATTCCAGATACAGTGGAACCTTAATTCAGCAAGCCTCGATTCAGCGAATTGCCAGTTGGAACGCACACTTTCCAGGCCAGATTTACTCGTCCGATTTAAGGGACAAGAGTTCATTGAAGCGGGGGGATGTGCGAACTTGCTTAGGATGTTGGTTCTTTTACAATTGCAACTGATTTTATGGTTCTTTTGTACTTCCAATTGTAGAAGTTTTTAGTCCGTAAAATATGGGCCCTTTGTCCTTTGAAAATGAGATTTCAAGGCTAGGGTGTTGAAAATATGCTAGATGTGGTTAAATATCTTTACAAACATGTTCTCTTGGTAGTTGTCCTTCAATATGACAGGTTGATATTAAAATTTACTCAGTGAAATCAGCCCATAGAGCATTGGAAATATTAGCCTTTGGTAACTCTGCTAATATGGCTCCATCACTTTTTTTTTAATGATTTGGTTGAAGGACGTAACATTACAAAAAAATAGTTGGTGCATTTTAGTGTTAAAAAAATTCATGCAAATGCCTCTTGGAGGCATCTCCGGTTGCAATAAATCCCTCACTGCAATGAATTGGAGTTGATCCCACATAGTTCGTTGAATCGAGGTTGTACTGTTCGGTATTAATCTATTGCTTGATATTTGTTGTGTTGTGGTTGTAATAACATTGTAAGAATTTCTTCCCCAGCCAATTATGTGTCCAAATGAGTGTTCAGCTACAGTTCTTCAGAAAGAACTTGAACAACACTTGATGTCTGAGTGTGTCTTACGGGTCAAAAAATGTGCTCTCTGTGACGAGCCCTTTACTTTCAACCAAGAGCAGGTTTGTCTCGAGGAAAGTTTCCATTGTTAGTTAAATTGTTTGTGCTTAATTAACCATCATTTAAGAATCTAATTAATATTCACCAAAAGGGATATTGACATAAAATGTTAAGTGAAATATTTTTTCCTCTGTATTCTTATTTTTAGTCAGTGAGTCTGTTAAAAGGAAGCTCAGTTTGAAAGCTCACTATGGTATATGATCTTTTGAGAACATAATGTCTAGTTTTTAGTATACCAATATATATATATTTCTTTTTCACTTTTATATGTTATGCTTTGTTTTGTATGGAAACCACAAAATGCACCTATACTTGTTTTTTAATTTTGACTGTAAGGATTCTTATTAAATATAGCAGAGATAAACAGAGCTGGGGTTTATAAAGGAGGAAAGTGGGAGGAGGGAAGGTCAGAAAGGCAAAGGTGTTTGTGAGGTTAGAGGCTTGAAGGATTGTGCCTTGATTTTCTTTTAATGCAATGCTGAGTTTTCCTTGTGTTAGTACAGTACAGTATTTGAGAGTTTAAGACTGTATACACTGTGTCCTAATGTTGTTTTCTTATTATATGATGAGTTTAGCATTGCTGGAGTTGACGAGTTTGACTCCTTGTTCCTGTGTGTTTGCAACGCAAGTGTTATTAGTGAGTTTGAGAGTAAGATAAGTTTATTTTAGGTATAAATACACACAAATGGATGAGGTAGCTTAAACTATTCTCACCCTATTCACTACAACATGTTCATATACTGTACTGTATATATATGCATACAAAAAACGGTCAACATATTATCAAACATTCTGGTTGATAAATGTCTACACATCATCCTTTACACACATGCAGTATGATACCAAATGACTTAAGTACATAGATATAAGTAGCAATAAAGAGGCTACAAATAGACATTCAGACAAATCAACCAATGGTTACAATCTTGGTGCAAAATTCTTCTCTCTCTCTCTCTCTCCAGAATATGAATAATCTTTGTCAGTGTTAATATATCTATGACGATATATTATGATTATTTACACCAAGTCGATTAAGCAGTTGCTTTTTACAATGTGAGAATGTTGGTTATCTATGATGCTATTGAGTGGGAGAAAATATTGTGAATGGATGGGTGTCACTTTGAATATCTTTAGTATCTTTCCCGCTCTTTTTGCTGTACAGTATTACCGTTTTCTGCTGAAATGTCTCTCCACCCCTAGAAGCAGGGAATGGGCAGTGATGATGGTCTAAATAAAACTTCACATAGAATATGGTACTTGAATTTAATCTTCATGTCAGTAGCATAGTATTTTTAGTTAACTATCAATTGATCTATACTTGGACCAATTTCAGCTTCATCTCCTTACTTGCGTCCATGTGGTAGTGTCATGCGAGATGTGCGGGACGATGGTGGCTCGTGGTGATGTCGCTACCCACATGACAGAAACATGTCCCAAGGTGGTAGTTGCATGCTCCTTTGCCGAGCACGGTTGCCACCAAAAGATGACACGAGCTGACCTAGACCAGCACATGGCGCAGGAAACGCAATTTCATCTCTTCGTAAGTATTTTTGCCATCATCGTTTAAACACACGATTTAGATATTTATATGTACAGTATTTTAAGAACTTTTTATTTGGAAATGAAATATATATACTGTATACAAATTATGTAATTGCTAATACAGAAACTTAACACAGTTTATAGGCTTCTAAATTGTATTTGTATGCAAGATTTTAAGTGCTTAATTTTAGGAAGCTCAGATTAATTGGATTCATTTAGAGTATTAGTTTTAACACCTGCCTTAAGCACTCGGAATAACCTTTCACACTGAGTGCAGTAAGAGCTATTGTGTATTATGGTTCAGTAGGAAACTAATGCATTATGAGCCTTGCATTAATGCTGAATTTTTATTTCTCTTTGTTTACATACGTTTGGAAACATGGATGAAAGTTGAACGTAAGTAACAAATAGTTGAAAATACAATACTGTACAGCATATGAATAGATGTTCAGTATAAGAATAAAAATGGACGCAGTATAAACACAAATAAGTTGTAGTTGTCAGATCTTAAAGCCAAATATAGGTGACAAATCAAACACCTAGTAATAGTTTTTGGAAGCTTAAATTTACCATTTGTTCATCATTCACAGATTGTGAGTGAATAGTTACTCGGAGCTCTGTACCGATGCATAAAATGTATGTTTTGAGCAGCTTCAAGGAGTTTGTCAACTTGCCACTGCAAGGGCTCACATTAGGGGTACGTGGGTGCCAGAGCTAAACACTGACACATCTCATAACAACAATAAATCTTTAACACTGGGTGTCTGAACCAATCACTGATATAGTTACTAAGAATATTATGTGTGGCCTTTTGCAGGATTGGTACACGATGCAATTAATAAGTGACTAGCATATCTATTTTTTTTTTTTTTTTTGTCACTTGAACGTTATGTGGAAATTTTTATCTAAATTTGTTATGGAGTGACAATTATTTTTGTGCATGTGACGTGTGCCGAATAAGCCACCAAGATTGTCATGGCTGGTATGGAAACTTCATCTCCTTATCTTCCTCCTCCTCTATCTCTGTGCCTTAGGTGTGTTAGACCTTTCCCCAAAACAAAACACTGGCAGAATTGGACTTTGATGATCCTGGCAGCCATTTCTTTCTACAGCTACTCCCTCCAAAGTGTCACCTTGTTGTGGTGAAGGGGCTTACGTATGGCTCCCTGGGGCTGGTGAGGGTTGCCATGGCCCCCCTCCCTCTCCTGTCCCTCTTTGGGTGTTGTACGTACTAAGGTACACACACCCGTAGGGATCTTGTTCGGGTCAATGGACCTCCTGCTGAACCTCTTGCTGCTGACCTCATCCTCATGGGTGAGGACATCTGTGATTCATCAACATTCAACCATAACACCTTGGTGGATGGTTGGGTGTCCAGGCTGGGGTGAAAGGGAGAATGAAAAAGGCAGTGGAAGTTCCGTTAAAAAGGGGGAGCACCGCTGGGGATGACTCATCCCTTCCTGCACTGAACAGCGCTCGGCATCCCTGACTGCCCTGGTAGGTGGTATCCCTTGGCTCTGAGACCCAGACTTTTGGTAATAATGCTGTGTAGAAATCAAACCGACTTCTCTTGCCGCAGGCTTGTGGGGTGAGCGTCCAGGCCCCCGAGTTGGACTGCGATGGAAGGCTGGGCTCAGTAGCCCCCGCTACATTGGGTCCAGACCAAGCTGTTTTTCTGATACTCCTGACTGCTTCTCTCTGCTTCCTTCCCACCTCTGTGGCAGGGTTTAGCACCAAACCCCAGTGGTGACCACCTCATCACCTGGAGTGGCTCCGCCTCTTGTAATAACTGCGCCTTTCACCCCCTCTCTAACTGGGGGTGCTCGGTGCTGTCACCTCAGCACTCGCACGATTCCTTCTCGTTCTAATACATTCCAAGCTTTGTTTGGTCCTGCTATGTGGACTAAGTATTTTGATCTCAGTCATGTTGATCCTACACGTCATGATGATTTATTCATCCATAAACACCTAGTTGATTCAGTGGATACCTTTTGTTACTTTTAATCCCACCCATACTTGTACACATGTCGTTGAAGGCCCTTGTCTCAGGAAGCGGCTGACCGCTTGGCTTCGTTGTCTTACATTAGAGATACTGTACCCCTGTTCAGATCTCCAAAATGCCCAGTTAAATACCAGCATTTGCGTAGTTATTCTCCCACATCATGTTGTGACTGGTGATGGGGAACTGAAAGACCGTCACGAGGATATTAAATATATCCTTGAGGCCTAACGCCATTCTGTCCTCCAGATACGTTCACTCGACCCCCTCGTGGTCTTTCATTAGCCTCTTTGCGTAGAACGGGGTGAGAATAGCTTGAGCTACCTCATCCCTTTGTGTGTATTTTACCTCAATAAACTTATTTCAATTTCTTTGCGTAGTGAAGATTACTTTTGGTAGTAGGTCCCTTCCATCTTCTGTTGTACATCAAGCACATGTACATGATGTACATCCTGTACATCAGGAGTACATCAGTACTTCTGACGTACTCCATTCAGGAGTATATATCCTCTCCTTGTCTCTGCAACAGGTGCTGGAGAAGTGGGCATGATCCCTTCAGGTGCACAAGTGAGGTGTGTCTAAATGATGGGAAATAGCTCTGGTCAGATTATGTATTGGCCATACACGTTTAACTCGCGGTCACTTAATGGAGTGCCGCCCTGCTTCTTATTGTTCAAACTGCATTGTCCCTCTTACAGTCGTGCATATTCTTGTTGAATGTCCTGACTTTCAGGATGTGCGTTTGTTTTGCTTCCCGACTGTCCCTCGTGGCCATCTGTCCATCAATAGACTCCTTAGTGAATCGGATCCTTTGATGATATCATTCAATGTATGCGCTTTTGTTCTTGTATTGGCATTTTTAGTGATACAGTATTTAGCACCTTTTGAATATCCCTCACATTTCATGGTACTACCTAGTCTCCCCGGCTTGGTGCCTTCTTTTGATAATTACTTACTTTCTACAGCTAATAATTCTCTTTATATTTCTGTGAGGTACCATACTTTGTACAGTTTCATTTAAAAGTTGAGGTAAATTGTCTTCTTCAGAATCCAAGAGCTTCCTTTTGTAACTTGTTAATAATATCTCTTAATGCCTTGATCCGTGTTGGATGTCAGATTTTCTTGTGAAAATGTGTTAAAATATTGGTTGAAACATTATTACTGTACAGTATATTAATGAACTAAAGGTAAAAATGATAGTCCATATGACTGCCTTGTTAGGTTTTACTAGAGTTAGCACAAAAACTAAACAAATAAATTGCAAACGTATATGATATAGTTGTGTGTTAAATTAGTTTCGAGTTATTTAAAGGAGATGCATAAATTGAGTCCTTCATTTAGTAATAGTTTACACAACATTTAGACAAAGCAAATGTGAATTTCTGGTGAGATTTGATAATTTACATTGTTTGAACATAAATGTTAATATTATGGAGCCTAAGTTGTATAATATAGGATGTATTAGTTGAAATAAGGTGTTTGGTTATTAATTTTAAAGTATTTTTTATTTGTGTTTTCAGTTATTATCATCGGCTTACAAGAAAATCAACACATTTGTATCGGATTTAAGTCGAACTGTTGGTGTAATACAGTCCCCATATGGAAACTTCAGTCGACAGCCAAGTTTACGAAGTCAAATTTCTGCCACATCTCCAATACCCGAGAACCACATAAGCCCATCTCATCCTGAGAGATCATTAGAAAAATCCCTATCTGCATCTGGAGCCACTGGGTGCAGTGACAAGCCACCGACGTTTCCTTCTCCGCAGTATGGAGACAAAGGAGGAGCGGATACCGGAACTGAGGGTAACAAACTTCACCTCCATATGAGTCACTTGAATATTAATGATGGTGGCAAAGGAACTCCAAAGTCTTCCATGTCGGTACTGACCAATCAAGATATAATACTACGTGACTTGTGTGAAAAGAGTGTAGATTTAAGTCAGAGCATGGTAGAAGAAACCATTAAGCTTAGTAATTTAGCCAAAAGGATTGAAGAAATTGATGCTTATGTTGAGGCTCAGTTGACTGAGGTAAGTGGAAAGTTCTGTAATGGTGAGTACGTTTGGAGAATAAGGAATTTTTCACAGTTATGTGCTGAGCTACAAAATAATCCTGGGAGGGTCTGCCACAGTCCGCCATTCTACACATCTCAATTTGGTTATAAATTTTGTTTGCGAACCAACATCACACGTAAGTCCGACGAGCATTTTTTAGCACTATTTATTCACACAATGCAGGGTGATAATGATGATTTCCTGGACTGGCCATTTAGTGGACGAATAACAATCTCTGTTTTAGATTGTGGCAAAATCCTGCCTAAGCAGCACATCACAGAAACAATGATGAGCAAGCCAGACCGGCAAGCATTCATGCGGCCGGAGGTTTCTCGGAATCCTAAAGGATTTGGCTTCACAGATTTTGTGCCTCTTAATAAACTACTTGAGGCAAAACATGGAATGTATATAAAAAATGATGTTTTGTGCATTCGTGCAGTGGTTTGTCCAGAAGCACTGACCACTAAACAAATTGAATGCAATTAAATGTTCTAAATATGCCATTAAGTATTAATTTGGAAATTACATACCAGTGACATACTGTACTGGTAAGTTATGAGTCTCGGTACAATACGGTTAAGTAAATTATATTACAGTACAGTGTTCTTGTAAATTGAGAATAGGTCATGATTAAACACATTCAATTACATTATTACTGTGTAGCTTTCATTTGTTTGTGACCAGGGTAGATGCATTTAAAATAAATTGGCTAGAAAGGCCAACTTGCTTTAGGTAATACATGTATACCAGTTGCACTATTGTTAATTTTCACACTTTTTTTGTGAAATTGAGTCAAATATAGTGATGAAATTTATCAAATGGCTGTCTCTCAACTTTGACATCTTGCTTACCCTGACACACTTGCTTTGTTAACAGGGTGGCATGTAGAAATTTCCTGAAGTGTTCAGCCACCTTTTGAGTGTTCAAAGCTCATTACCTACTTACCTTTTAATGGCTACGTAGGTCAGCCACCTTTTGAGTGTTCAAAGCTCATTACCTACTTACCTTTTAATGGCTACGTAGGTCACCTCTTCTTCAGCCCAGTCCGTAAACAATTCTACTTGCCAGGTTAATTTACATATGCAAATCAATCTCCATTTACTCTGTGAGACAGCAAGCACAAGCATATTATGATGGTAGACTGTTCACCAAGAATTAAGCATAGTGTAACTGTGAATTAAAAATATTAGCAGGAGTTGACATTGTTAGTGCTGTAGAGCCCAAGATACGAACCAATAGTGAGATTTGAGTTGTGGGCTGGGTACTGGAACTGACTACTGTACAGTATTTAGTGCCATGTTTTCTACTTTGGGAAGCATGGCAGTGCTTCCATCGGCAATGACATTTACAATTGTAAATACTTTATGCTTATTGTTAGAGTATTTGCTGCTCAGGGCAGGTGATGCTTCCAGATCTATCTTGCTGAAGGTAATTCACGAATATTAAGAATGATAGAGTAGTAGATTGTATTTAAAATGATAACATATGAATAATTATGGTATTAACATGTGATATGCATAATTTGGTATTAGGATTAGTTTGAGAGTTGCTAAAATTTATAATGTACAATTAACGTGATCAGTATTCCAAGTGTGTAATTATTAACTACAAATTAATATTACACTGCCAAGGTTAATGCAATAGCTGCTCAATGCATCAATGCAGGAAGTTATAAAAGTAATCAAGAGATTGTTTTATGAGTTTTTAATTAAAATAATTAAATATTCACACAAGAAAAACAATATATTGTATTAATGATAGTTGTCAAAGATAATTAACATCTTCCTGGTCCTTCCTCTACATACAGCTCATAATCTGCCAACATCCTGGTGTATGTGATATCGGGAAGCAAATTGGTTAAAATTGTATATTACTATTAATTTTAAAGTGTATATTTACAGTATATTTTTATATTTATTTTCTGTACATAATTGTTAGGTTTCATTATAGAGTATGGTTGTTATGTTTAATGTTTGTGTATACTTTTAATGCCATGTAGCTTCAAGCTTTTGGTGTAGGTTTATATTAATAGAATACTGCATTGTGCTGTGCTGATCTCTGATAATTACCATATATTCATGACTCGAACCCATTCTCAAGCCGAGCATTTGAATTCGGAGTGTTTCGGTGAAGCTCTTCAGCCACATTCAGTCAGTCTTCAACTGGCAGTATTCTTTTGGATACTGTGTTTTTCTGATAATAGCCTCTTGGGTTATAATAATATGTGCAATAACAAATCTCTATTTCTAAAAATAAAATTCTGAATTCTGATTATTAGTAGGGGGGTCTTGCTTTACCCAGATATTTTGTAGTATCTACCTTCTGGAAGTTGAAGATAGATGAGATGACTGTATAGTAATGGAAAAAATACAATTCGTATCTATCTAGCCTGTTCTCTCAATTTGCCACCTCATAACAAATGCAACTGTTGTGCCTAACTAGAAACATAGGCACTTCAAACAACCCTCCTAACTTAGAGGCAGATGCATAGAAAATGTCAATTATGTGTTTTTAATGTTTACTAATACATCACCTTTTAACGTAATTTCTGTAAGAAATACGAAGTATTAAGTGTGAGGACAGGTTGATCTATTACTAGTAACATTTCTAATTAAATTGGTTGCAGCATGTATGTCAAAAGTCAGTGTTCATCAATGACAAAAATTAAATTAAAATAATTTGTATTGTAAGGCCAATTAAAAGTGGCACTGTGTATGCAGAATTGTGGAGAACATGTATTCAAAATAAAAAGGCTTGATGATCATGAGTCAGAAATGTTTTCATTTTATTCAGCAAGCTATACTGCACTGTATTATGAAATCGGTTATGAAACCTGGATTAAAGAGTTTCCAAGTACAGTATAATCATTTCTTGAATCTAGTGATAATAGAACATAACTATAAACTTGTGCAATTCAAAGAATATTTATTTTCAACTTTGTGATCTGTTTTCATTTGATTTGTTTTAAAATAGGCATTGTAGTAGAAACTGCTCCTGTTGAGTGTGGGCAAATAAATCACTCGGCTTGGATAACTACTTCACTTTGCATGAATTGGAAAAAATTGCAAATAATTATATAGGTCTGTACAGTGTCTATTACAACTTTAAAATTTACAGCTTGTTTAAATAACTGACCATTCTAGTTGATTTTGTTACCAAATTTGATAGATAAGTTCATATATTATTGAGTTTCCTGTCTTCATGTACAAATAAAATAAATTGGTTTATCCAGATACAGGCTTTTACATATTACTTAATTTCAAGGTGGCTAAAATGTATACAAATTAGAAAGAGACATTGGTGAGATAAAAATTTAGGTTGAGAAATTTACCAAAATTTATACTAACCAAATTTTTCACAATATTTTTTTTCTTACTGAATACAATACATTGCAATGAATTGCTTATGTTAACATCTGTTTATACTTATGTGATGCTCTGGGCTCATAGAAATCTTTGCACAATTCCATTTTATTTTGGTTTTAAAATATTCTGATATTACTGTTTCTGAAAGTGTTTAAGCAGTTTGCATCTCCGTGTGAAACATTATTTTGTATAGTGGAAATAGACATCCTGCCTAAAACATTTTCTTTCATTTGTAATGTAATATACCGTGCTTCCAAACCATCATATTCTGAGTACTGTAGCTCTTTGAACAGCTTCTTAATTATTTGTTTAACATTCCACTCAGTGCATCAGAATATAATGGTATGTGTGTGTGTTCCTATATGTTGCTGTCATTCAGAATCTGAGAAATAGGGTTTGAAGTCATTGATACTGCAGACCAGTCTTATACACCCTAGCAATTTGTGTTTGTATAGTTTTACAAATGATTTTTCAATACACTCGTTCCAATGACACTAAATCATGCCATCCGTACTCCGACAGTAAACATTCGAATGACTTATAAGTGCTTCTTTGATGCAGACAATGAGTCGCAATAATGTGGTTGAATATATGATGACCAAAGGACACATCAGAAGATGGAGAAACATGCTTCAGTCCGTCCTGAACTATTGTGTGTGTGAGGAAGAGAGGAAGGAACGAGCTAATAAAGAGGAGAGTGAGTAAGAGAAAAGGTCATTTCTAGAAGGGTAAGGTGAAAGATACCAATGGGAAGAGGTAAGAATAAGATGAAGGTAACAAAAAAGGGTAGCTTAAGTCAGGTCACATTTGTTTAGAATGTTAGAGCATATGAGTACATACTGTGAAAGGAAAGAGTCAACACTAACAAACCCAGGACAAAGGTTCATGTTGTGTATCAGAGCCAATTCGACAAGACAGCGACTGTGAAGAGTAGAGGCAGGAAAGATATGTAGATCAATCTATAATTGGTCTATAATTTTAGAAGACCAATCTATAATTGGTCTATAATTTTAGAAGACCAATCTATAATTGGTCTTCTTCTAAAATAATCTTTCCTGCCTCTACTCTTCACAGATGTTATTCTTCTCAAAGCGGCTCTGATACACAACATACCCAACATAAACCTTAGTCCTGACTTTGTTGCTGTTGACTCTTCCCTTTCACAGTACATACTCAAATGTTCCAATCTCAATACATGTGACCTAACTTAAGGATACCCTTTTTCTTTCTCTTATTCTTACCTCTTCCCATTCTTCCTTCATCTCATTCTTACCTTTCAACGTACCCTTCTAGAAATTACCTTCTTCTCTTACCTGCTCTCCACCTCACTCTCCTTTATTAGCTCATTCCTAATAAAGCTCATTTCCTAATACTGTATTAACTAGTTTCAGTCCAGGACGGCCTGAAACATTGTTTTCTCCATCTGATGTGTGCTTTGGTCTTCATCTAATTGCTATTCATAAATATTCATATATTCATCGTTGCTGCTCATAGTTGATTATAAATACATTTTTGTTTTTGCATTTATTCTCTAGAGTTGACTTGCAAACATTTTGACACCAAATTTATAGTTATAACCTAACAAACTTGGAAAACAAAACGATTGTAATCATTTTTCTCATCTCTGAGCGGCCCAGGGAGCCCAGAACATCTATGGCCAGGAAGGTGCGGAGAGGCTAGACTGCCAATGTTAATATATCCAAGGTACTCAACTTGTGATGTTCAGGTTTATGTATGTTGATAGGTTTTAGAAATATAATGCTCAAATGTGAATATTGGTCAGGGTTTTTTTCATTATTATTTTGTTGAATATTTGTATGTGTGTTAAAAAATACTATCAAAAGAATATTTTGTATTACTATATCAATATTAAACACTTCTAACTTGGCTAGCTGTGTGGAATATTTCCTCATGCATAATTATGTAGTGTTACAACTATGGTTCGAACTATCAGTTCGGTAAGCTTCAGGGAGCCTCCGGGGTCTTCTCCCAGAAAATGGCGTTTCATTACATTCAATGCTGTTTTTTTGTGACTCAATATTTTAATACCCTGTCTAACATTCCAGATGACCATCATGTCTTGAGTTATGCTCATTTTCCTGGATGTTCAGGATATCTATACCCAATCTCTGACTGGAGGTTGGCAGGCATTTGATATCATGTTGCAAGCTTGTTGAACTGTCTGAACTTTGCTTCCTAAGTTTACCCACTGGGCTGCATATAGCTGTAGGCCTTGTATTTTGTGTTCCAAACTGACAATTTTGAACTAAAGAATACAGGTCTATTACTCAGCAGCAGCAGATTAAGGTAAAACATCAAACCAGGTTGTTTAAATGTCTTCCAGCTCTTGTATTGGCATATTATGATGGCTTGGAATTCTTAAATGTTCTGTAACACAGTGCTATATGGTACAGTATAGCCATCTGGGCTTACTGCTCTTTCAATAATGCTACCAGATTTGTGGGTTTGTAATGACAATGGTATTTAAGCTTAAGAAATTGTGCAGAAATTATTGAGACTAAAACAACAATGAGTTTAAAAGAAATAATTGTTTTATATCAATATTATAAAATAATTCAGAAACTGACCTTGGAGAAGATTCAAGCTTCTTAGCCCTTACTTACATGGCTCCAATCGCTTATCTGTAATTTCCGCCCGTGATCAAGTCTCCATGTGAAATTGATCTTCCATTACTCTTATCATAAATAGTTTTTTCATATGCACCACAGGGTGCATATGAAAACACAGGGTCTTAAATAGCTGCAGCATTTGAGAGTTGAAAGAGGACTTGCTGTGGTGTTCCTTACATGTGGTTATGATATTTATAATTCTTTTAATTTTTCAGGTTTTCCCCGACTTGTATTTTCCCTTCTTTTCCTCCTTTTTTGTCTCGTTCTTTTCTTTCTTCTTGTTATTCTTTTTCATGTCTTTCTTTACCAGCTTTGCTTTCTTAGTTTTCCGTTTACTTTGGCTTTTTCTGCCTTTGTCTTTTTCCTTTTTTATCTTTATTCTATTTCTTAATGACAGTTTTGCATTCTTCTTGGGTCTTGAATTCTTAGATTTTTTTTCCATATTTTTTTTCTTATTCTTTATATTATTATTTTTACCTTTTTTCTTTTTTACATTATTTATTCTTTTGTCATTTTTCTTTTCTTTTTTTCCAAATCTCTTCTTTCTGCCCTTTTTTTTCCCAATTTTTATAATTTTACGTCGATAGTTAATCCCTTTTTCTTTGTTCAACTTCCTTCTGTTATTTTTGTCTTTATTTTTATTATTGCTTCTGGCTTGTTTAACTTTTTTCACCTTTAATTTTCGAAGATTCTTACCTCTTCTTTTGTTCTTCCTTCTCTTTCTCATCCTCAGTTTTTTCTTCTTACTGCTTTCTACTTTTCTCGAATTATTTTTCCTTCTTTTTATCTTTAACTTTTTATAATTACCCATCTTCCTTCTGCTGTTCTTTCTTCGCTCAGGTTGTCCCTTTATCCTCTTTGAATACCGCTTCTTTCCCTTCTTTCTTTTGACGAGTTTCAAGTGTTTCTTCCCACGCTGCTTGAGTGCATTCATCTGGCGTATGGCCTTCCACTTTCTCCGAGCATTCCTCAGAAGACGCAGGAGATCCTGCTGCTCCTCGGGGTCTCCAAAGAAGTTTCTGAGATGAGCATAGCGGAGGCTGACTGGGAGGCGCTTTACTCCTACGTTGTGTTGGACAAGGAACTTCTGGAGGGGAGCAGACACCATGATCCACTTGGCTACCAGGGAGCTTCGCAGTTTATTCCCTTTGCTTTCCTTTCCCTTCTTATTTTCCTTCCTTTTTCCTTTCTCTTTCTTTTTTTCTTTTCCAACTTTTGTCATCTTTCCTTTTGTGTTTCCCTTATTTTTTACTCCATCTTTCTTCTCTTTCTGTTTCCTTCTATCTTTATCTTTTCCATCCTTCTTCATTCCATATTTATTCTCATTTTTCTTATTTCCTTGAATATCCCTCCTTGTCCTCTCTTCAGTTTTCCTCTCTGTCCTTGTTCTTTTCTTTTCTTTACCTCTTTTATGCTTCTCTCGCTGCATTTTCTTTTCCCAAAGAAACTTTTGGGGTCGACCCAAGATATTCTCTAGAATTTCAACTCTATCATGTTGAAGAAATTCCTCTGTGTCCATCCTTATGTCATCTTTGGCACTGTGAATGGGCCTCTTGCCATCCTTGGCACTGTGAATGGGCCTCTTGCCATCCTTTTTACTGTGAATGGGCCTCTTGCCACCATTGACACTGTGAATGGGCCTCTTGCCATCCTTTTTACTGTGAATGGGCCTCTTGCCATCCTTGGCACTGTGAATGGGCCTCTTGCCATCCTTGGCACTGTCAATGGGCCTCTTGCCACCATTGACACTGTCAATGGGCCTCTTGCCATCCTTTTCACTGTGAATGGGCCTCTTGCCATCCTTGGCACTGTCAATGGGCCTCTTGCCACCATTGACACTGTGAATGGGCCTCTTGCCATCCTTGGCACTGTGAATGGGCCTCTTGCCATCCTTGGCACTGTGAATGGGCCTCTTGCCACTGTGAATGGGCCTCTTGCCATTCTTGCCACTGTGAATGGGTCTCTTGCCATCCTTGGCACTGTGAATGGGCTTCTTGCCACCATTGACACTGTGAATGGGCCTCTTGCCATCCTTTTCACTGTGAATGGGCCTCTTGCCATCCTTTTCACTGTGAATGGGCCTCTTGCCATTCTTGGCACTGTCAATGGGCCTCTTGCCATCCTTGGCACTGTCAATGGGTCTCTTGCCATCCTTTTCACTGTGAATGGGCCTCTTACCATCCTTGGCACTGTGAATGGGCCTCTTGCCATCCTTGGCACTGTGAATGGGCCTCTTGCCATTCTTGCCACTGTGAATGGGCCTCTTGCCATTCTTGCCACTGTGAATGGGTCTCTTGCCATCCTTGGCACTGTGAATGGGCCTCTTGCTATCCTTGGCGCTGTGAATGGGTCTCTTGCCATCCTTGGCACTGTGAATGGGCCTCTTGCCATTCTTGCCACTGTGAATGGCTCTCTTACCATCTGCATTAAAATCTTTCATCCTTCCTCTGGATGTGGACACCACATGGGATCGTCCTTGAGGTTCTGGGTCATCTTCATCATAGTAATAGTATTCACCGTAGTCTTCAGAGTATTCATAATCAGTCTCTTCATTGTCATTGCTACTATTGTCATCTTGGTTACTTTCCTCATCAGCTGTATCTTTATTTTCTCCATTATCAGTGCTATTATTATCTTTATCATTACTCTCTCCTTGTTTCCCATCATCTGTATTATTCCCATCTTCATAATAATCATCGTCATAGTAATAATAATAATAGTAATCATCATCCCCAGACTCGCCGACTTCAAGTTTGCTTAGCGTTTCATTGCTGCTATCATAGTTATCATCTTCACCCTCTTTGTTATTTTCTGTATCATCACTCGATTCTTTTCCATCATCTGTATCATCACTCGATTCTTTTCCATCATCTGTATCATTCTTCTCATCTTCATAATTATCATCATAATAATAATAATAATAGTAATCATCACTAGCGTCACCATCACTAGATTCACCAGAGTCTTCCAGGATGTAATCTTTATTCTCTTCTGTATTCATGTTCTCTAATCCATTCTCACTCGCCTCGATTTTTCCGGCAATTGTGGTATCATTATTCAAAGGGCTTGTTGGGTCTTCCCCATCTGTGTAATAATAATAATATTCTTCATCCTCACCTTCTCCAGCAGTCACTCTGGAACCTCCGGAGGCTGTTGTTGTCATTCCAGAGCCTCCAGATATTCCTACAGCCCCGCTGGAATGTGTCGAGTTAGAGCCACCATTAAAGTCACTTGGTTTGAAGACTACATTCTCCCTTCCTGATGGACATACCTCGAAGTACAAGTAGTAGTCTCCCTCTTGGACAAAACAGCCAGTAGGGGAAAGGGCTGGAAGGTCCTTCACTGGAATGAGAGCATTCCAGTCCACAAGTTTGTTAGATAGTGTTGAGCCAAGTTCCAGGGTGAAAGAGCCACCACCTAACACAGGGCTGCAGTCACCCTGTTGCACAGTTGACAGATCTTCCAGCTCCACGCCCAGGCCCTGTCAAGGACTACCTGTTAACGATATGCTTCAATATAAATCCGATTTCAGCAAAAATTGAAATACCTACTGTTAATGACTATCAAAGTTATCAAAAAGTTTAAACTTTTGAAAATCTTTAAACAAAAAATTGATATTTTTTAAATAACCCTTGAACATTTGTTACAATACTGAACTTTTATTAATTATGAATGCTTAGAAAGTTTGATTTAAATTCTAGAATGCTGATAAAAACAGCTTGACACAACCCTTGTTCAATAGTACCATGAGGTGTACACTTGTACTTGCCTGTTTATGGGGAATGAACTCTAGTTCCTGGGTACTGCCTCTTGACCACTTCACTTATGCCAACTGTTCCTGCTGTTTTTCATTTTGAGCATTACCTCTTGTCCAACCTGTCAATTCCTCTTAATATTCTGTACATTGTTGTTTTATCTCCTCTGGTTCACTGTTCTTCCAGCGTGATGAGTTTGAGGTAACCTAATTCTATTTACCGTACATGGTTGAGTAACAGTCCTCAAGCCCCCACCTTTCCATTTATAGATATTTTACAGTAGATATTTTACTGTAGATATTTTACACCTTTGTTCCCGTGTCCATGCTAAATACTGTAATCTGTTCTTGAGTAGTTTGTATATCTTGATCATGTCTACCCTGTTTATTTTCTCTTCCAGTGAGTTGAGGTTTAACTTGAATGATGTCGTGTGTGTATGTGTGTGTGTGTGTGTGTGTGTGTGAGTGTGTAATTACCCAAGTGTAGTCACAGGATGAGAGCTACGCTCGTGGTATCCTATTTTCCCATTACTCTGTCATGTAACGCTTTGAAACTTCTGACGGTTTTGGCCTCCACCGCTTAACTTGTTCCAGTCGTCTACCCACCCTGTTTTCAAAAGTAAACTTTCTAATATTTTTTTCGGCACCTTTGTTGCTTTAGCTTGAATCTGTGTCCTCTTGTTCTTGAAGTTGCTGGTTTCAGTAATTCCTCTTTGTCAATTTGGTCAATTCCTGCTATCATATCACCTTTTCTTCTATCTTCTAGTTTTGGCATATTTACTGCCTCTAGCCTCTCCTCGTAACTCTTGATTTTCAGCTCTGAAAGCCATGTTGTAACATGCCTTTGCACCTTTTCCAGTTTATTGATGTGCTTCTTGAGCACATGCATATTTGCTATTTGTATTTACTATTTATGTCTGCAGAATCGAGTTATTAGCTCTTGGACCCTACCTTTCTAGCCAATCTATTTTTCCTCCATTACTGTATATCTACTACATATATATTTCTCTCTAACACACGTACACGCACACACACATCCCCAGGAAGCAGCCCGTAGCAGCTGTTTAATTACCAGATACCTATTTACTGCTAGGTGAACTGGTGCATCAGGGTAAAAGAAACTGCCCATTTGTTTCCACCTCCGTCGGAAATCGAACCCGGGCTAATAGGACTACGCCCCCAAGTACTGTCCACTCAGCTGCGAAGCCGTGTGTGTGTGTGTGTGTACACTTGCCAGCCTTACCTGAAGTGTGTTCCTAATCTCCACAAGTTTCTCCATAGGGAGAGAGCGGCTGCGGGAGAGTATGAAGCCAGACTGGAGGTGGCCAAACATGGTGGACGTACAACTCCACAACACCGCCCAGCTGCTGTAGTCTGTCCCCACTACCTCGTGTGCTATGTCGTTATACACCTCTAGAATGGTCAAGTATGTTGACAATTGAGGACAGAAAAGTAAACACACAGTTTGAAAATTGGAAGAAAAATCATGAATTATTAAAATTATAGGATGTAGGCAAAATGTATTCGAAAAGAATATTAGAAAAATTTAGTTCAGTTTGTTGTACTAAAAATGAAGTTGAGTATATTAATAATAAAATAAAAAAAAGAGTAGAGCAATAAATTTATTTCCTGAAAGTGTAAAGATGTTTAACAATTCTAAAATGCAAAATTTTAAAATGTAACAAAATTAAAATGTGTGCCTGTCTAAATAATTGAAAGCTATAAAGGCAGACCAAGTGACAATTACTCATTTATAAGCCAGACAAAATCCAGTCACATTTGTTTAGAACTTTCCTTCTAGAATTTTAGAACTAAAGAAAGTAACATCCTTCCGTATATTTTGTAGGCCTATAAGCTTAGATTAAGAAAATTGTAAATACTGTATAGATCTAATATATTTATGAATAAACCATGTAATGATTTATATCACTCACAAGATTTCAACCTCTTAGACTGGTCAATACTGCGATTGAATTGCTGCTTGTAGAGTCAACGTTCAATCCCTAGTGGTTTAAATGGCTGGCACCATTCCTTCACTGCTATATAGTCATCCTGGCTTAGTGCTTTCTCCCTCATAATTCCTGTTCTGTCCTCATATCCCTGCCAAGCCATCACGGCTTAAGGCTTTCTCCTGATGATTACTGTACCTTGAGACTTCTCGGTTCTTCAACATTGTTCTTATTCCTCCCTTAAGAGGCTCCAGCTCCCTCCACTGTTCCTGCCTTCCACTTCCTCTTCACTCTCCCTCCTACCTTCTCTTCCCCACACCCTCCCACTGCAGCCTCACCATTCCTTACACAAATTACGGTACTTCTGTCTTGGAACTACTATGAGTGATACTACAGTAGCAGAACAGCTATGAGTCTGGTACCATAGTAGCAGAATAGCTATGAGTCTGGTACCATGGTAGTGGAACAGCTATGAGTCTGGTACCATAGTAGTGGAACAGCAATGAGTCTGGTACCATAGTAGTGGAACAGCCATGAGTCTGGTACCATAGTAGTGGAACAGCTATGGGTCTGGTACTATTGTAGTGGAACAGCAATGAGTCTGGTACCATAGTAGTGGAACAGCTATGATTCTGGAACTATAGAAGTGGAACAGCCAAGTAGTACAGTAGTGGAGTAGCAAAATAGCTACTAGTCTGGCACTGTAGTAGTTGCAAAGACTGTACTGCACTATAAGTTGTATCTACTTATGCCCGAAACGCTTTGCGTAATAGTGGCTTTAGGCATTGTATGTACTAGCTCTATCTATAAGTCCACCAATCTTTGTAAAAAATCTCTTGTATGTATATACCTTACCTAAATAAACATTTATTTATTTATTATTTACTAGTGCATAAACATTCATGTCCTATATAGTGTACAAACATTTATGTATACAGTGTCACAGACACTAACTTTAAAATTGGTGCCAGAGTGCCATGTACTCACCTAGTTGGGTTTGCAGGGGGTTGAGCTTTAGCTCTTTGGTCCCGCCTCTCAACTGTCAATCAATTGGAGTACAGATTCCTGAGCCTATTGGGCTCTAAGGCCCTGCAAATCCAGAGGCTCTGGAGGTGTGTCCCGCCTCTGTTAGTGCATGTATGACATGACGCCCCCTAGTGATAGGAAGGCTAGGAAAAAACATAAATATCAGCCTCATGCTGTAATGAAGCTACACCCATAACTACTCACTGTAGGGCAGCTTACATCCCTAGATACCTGCCAGCAAGGGCATTGTACACCCTTAGACACTCATCAGAGGTAAGTCTACACCCTTAAACACTGTGATGGGTAGCCAAACCTCACCAAGACACTCACGAGAAGGTAGTCGAAGCATCATAGAGCCTGGGTTCTTGGGGTTGGAGAGCAACTGCGACTGGTAGTGGAAGTTGTGAACAACTCCCGCAGCTCTGAGGGAGAAGAGTTGCTTATCTACCGCCAAGGTGAAGCGTCCTCCACTCCCTGACTCCTTGATAGTGAGGGAGTAACACCGGGATGCCAGGTTGCTGCCCTGGATCACATACCATGTCCCTGAGAACTGTGGGAGACACAGAGATGAAGAGTGGCCACTAAGAAGTAAGGGAGATGCAGGGAAGGTGCAGAATAGTTTCTGAGAACTGTGGGAGATGCAGGGACATAAATGAGGTCCTTCAGTACCTGGATCAAGTACCAAGTACAGTATTGTACCTAAAAATTGTGAGATAGCTAACAACATTGCAAACCAGACATCACAGAGCTTATCTCATCAAAACTTTTAAAATACAGTACTGAAAAATTTGGAGGATATTGACTCAGGCAACCTCTTTAAATGATCAGATGTAACACAAACAAGAAACTTTTAAGCTTAAGCCACAATGTAGGACAGAAAACAGGAGATGCTTTTTCACCCATAGGGTCATAAACCCATGGAATTGTCAAAACACTGTTGAATTTAAAAATAAAATAATCTCGATAAAATCAGGACAAATGGGGGAGGGGGGAGGGGAGACGGAACTTTCACAAGCTTCTGGCTTCCTGTCTTCATCGAGGCTGTTATGCCCAGGGTTGGTGTTTGTGAGGAAACAAAAGATCTTTTGAGCAACCAAATAATGTGTGTGTTGATTGTGAAAGCAGTTATTCCTACTGGCTTACTGTAGTATGATTAACTTGTGACATAAGCTACTGGCTGGTTCTAAGAGACCTAAGTCTGTGAAATAGTTAGAAGATTATATCATATCAGGACATAGTTGTAAAAGACTGGTGATGGTGGTAATACAATTGTAAAGATAGTCGTTATGATACAAGATTTGGACATCTGGTTTTCTATTGGCGACTGGCTGGCTGGCTGGTTTGGTGTGTGTGTGTACTTTTGGAATTCTTATGGCATATAAGTTGTAGCGTTTCAATATTTTTGGCCACAACTCTTTACATTTATAATTAATGTATAAATACAACTTCAAACAGACTCAAAAGTGTTTGTGTTTAATAGGAGTTGGCTTGAAGAGGATAGTTAATGTATGGTGGGGGTTTTGGGAAACTTTTACACTGTGCTTCCATCAGAAGCTTTTGGGCTTGCCAAGAATGTTTTGATTGCAAGTCTCTAACTCTATCCAAAGGAGATTCTGTTCATACAGTAAATGTTAATTGGCAATGCCAGGGGTTTTGTTATGAGTAGTGGATTCTGTGAGAATACAGCCAATAATTACACCAACTTGTTCCTATGTTCAGTATGTTGTGGACAGCTATGTCCCTTAATAGCTTAATTTGGGAGTACCTTTCCCTTGGGGCCAGGCCTACTGGCCTGTTCCTTGCTCTACGTTACCTGGAGGGAGTACCACCTTAGCTGGAGGAAGTATTAGCAGATGTGTTGTAAGTATACTGTCAGCACAATAGCATAGGATAATGGTTGGGTTACTGGTAGATCAGAAACTATCATTATTATTAATATTACCATTTATCACCATGGCCAATAACAAAGGCCAGTAGAGACAGTGGCCCTCAGGTAAATTCAGGTAATAATGAGAGCAGCAAGTCCCTGGGTTGGATGACATTTGCTTACCATGCTTCTTTAAGACGTGCAAGAGTTGTAGAGGGAAAGAGAGCTGAGGGAGAGGCAAGAGGGAGGGGGATGAAAGGAGGGCAAGAGGGAGAGGGATGAAAGGAGAGGCAAGAGGGAGGGGGAATGAAAGGAGGGGTAAAAGAGAAAAAGTGAGACAACAAAATTTGAAATAAGTAGAGAAAAGACAATAGAGAGAAATTAAAAGAGGATGGGTGAATGTATATTGGGGATAAAGAAAAGGAAAAGGGGAAATAGTGGAGATGGAAATAGGGGGAAGAAAATAAGAGGGGAAAGGGAGTTAGAGGAACAGTGGGAGAGAGCAATTAAAGGAAAGACAAAGAATAATTGGTTCATGAGCCCTTTATTTCTGTAACCTCTTTCACTACATCCCATCAAAACACAGGTCCGTAAGGTTCACAATATACAAGTAAAAAAAACTGTCTACAAAAACTCTACATATGCAAGTATTTGGTCTTACAATCCACCTAGCAATGTTTGAGGCTATGGCTCAAAACATGCTTCATTCACCTTCAGTCTGTAGTGTAAACACTCCCTAAATCCATGCAACCAAAACACCTTACCAAATCTTACCTAGACCTAATTATACATAGAATAAAATTTTTATTATACTGTATAGATGATTCATCTTGTCAGTTGGTTGTCTGGTAAATAAGTCAAAATTACACAAACTTGGTAAAAACTGTCAGTATTTGACTTAATTGCTTGGGATGGAGAATGGGTTGTCCACTACTACTTCCAGCATGAGTATGGAGTAAATTATAAATTAACTAAAAAAAAAAAACTTGATCTCCAGCTGAGCAAGAGCCAAATACCTTGGCTCTTGATCTCTTGGCTCAAAATGTCTTGAAGGTATACCAGGAGGCCACAAGGGCAGCCAACTCCTACAAACCACATCAAATTTGCAGATGACAAAGATTTATGGTAAGGTAGGAAATGATAATGATGTTGAAGCCTTACAAAGAGACCTACATGAACTAACAAATGGTCTGATGACTGGAAAAATGCTTTCTAATATTGACAAATGCAAGACCATGCATGTGGGGCATAACAACAATCGCCACAACTACTAAATTAATGGCATTACATTACTGCAGATTGATGATGAAAAAGGTCTTGGAGTTAAAATTCACCACTCAATGAAAGTTGCATAACAGGTAGGAGCAGCAGCAGTCAAAAAAGCTAACCAAACACCTGGAATAATCAAGCATACCTTTGACTTTTAAATTAGAGAAAAGAAGGTGGTGAATCAGTTGCATAAATCTCTGGTGCACCCTCATTTGGATTATTGTATCCAAGCATGGAGACATCTTCAGTAAGATATAGCTGCTCTGGAAAAAGTGCAACACTGGGCAACAAAATCATTCCAGAGCTAAGTCATCTATATCAGGAACAGTTGATGGCCACAGGGCTAACAACACTGTACACCAGACAAGACAGGGCAGATCTCATTGAAACATAAAATACTGAACAATTTGGAGGATATTGATCTGGAAAATTTCTTCAAAAGGTCAGATGTAACAAACAAGGAGCAACGGTTTCAAGCTCGACAAGCCACAATGTTGGACTGAGAACAGAAGATGCTTCTTCACCCACAGGGTTATAAAACCTTGGAACCGCCTACCCGCCGAAGCCGTAAATGTCAAAACTCCGTTAACATTTAATACAGCTGGAAAAGATCATCAAGGCAAATGAGGGGGACCTTAAACAAACCGCCGGCTTCCTGTCCTCATCGAGGCCACTAGTGTTAATGGCTCTCAGCCTCAGGTAAACTCGGGTATCTCCCCCAAGGCGAGTCACTCCCTCCTAAAGATACAACGGGAAGACGACAAAACAAAAAAATCGCCGCTCGAAGATCTAGCCAGAAGA